ATTATTTTTATACCATGCGTTATTAATTAAAGAATGTGTAACATCAGCCTAGTTTGTTGAAAAGCTAGTAAAGAAACCACCAGACGTCCTACAGCAAGTGCTTCTGTACTGGCGTGCTATAATTTACGTAATTTAGGTTATATATAATGCATATTTTAAGGGTTTTCTTGTCGTAGAACACATCGAGGGGTGTCAGGATTGATCAAATGAAAGACCGACCGTAGGGAGGTCTTTCTTTTGGCAATCCTGACACCCCGAGGTGTGTTCTACGACAAGAAAAACCTTAAAATATGCATTATCTGACTTATATACCGTAAAAAAATATTGTTTTTTATAAAGATTTGCAAAATTTAGCATCCTATTTTACCGAAAGATATTCCTTTCTAATGCGTTCAGGTTTTAATACGCCCTATGGCTCATTTAGAATGTGAAATAAAACTCACTAATTAATCTAGATATAAACCTTAGAAATTATTATCCATACACAATAAAAATATTACTGTAACTGCATGAAGTAAGACACAAATGAATTGTTACCATCTGATAAAGGTGTATGAAAAATACAAGACACTTTGTAAGTAATTTATTGTACCAACTTAGTTTATGGAAAGGGGGAGGTGCTATGTTTTTTTTGTCTATTTGTAATGGCATTTTATCGCGGAAAAGTGATTATTTTTTCAACAATTTTAATTGAATCGAATGAAATATTCAGAATGATTTTCTTTTGAATAGCAATACATTTTTTAAACAGATAATCAGGATATAATTATACACCCTCCCCCCACCCGACCTCATTGTGAGGTACATGAATGTATATTCAATAGAATATAAGAATATTTTATTAGTTAATCATTTGATAGAGTAAAAGGTATACATAAATGTAAAAAAGTGAAGAACTGACACGAAGGGGGCTTGAAATCGTGATACATGTACATGTTACACGAAAACGAATATCAATACATGTAGGTCACAGTATGATTTCCAATTCAGTGTGTATCGTCCTGAACATGCATGAAATATTTGCCACTGGACATTAAGTAACCATCAATCAATCAACCTATTCAGTGTGAATCAATAAGATTTTCAAGATCTTACACACGAATATGTTAAATCTGGCTTTTTTTTAAAGTGTTATGAAAGTTTTACATTAAAATTCATCTCGCATATATGATAATGTCTCTGTATTGTAGCGATAAATTAGCAAAACTTCACATTATTTGTCTCTAAAATTAAAATTCGGGCAATGACGATTTTTTTACACCTATCATAGATTGAACTTTAAAAAATAATTTCCCAAATCGGCAACAGAAACTATCAGACAAATATAATTTTGAAGTAAATTATAGTTTGCTTTTTTTATCAAGGAAAATAATGACCTCACGCAGGTCATTATTTTATGCCTTAGAGCATAGTTCATTGAATCATGGTATCGTCCGGGTTGATTCTTCGAAAAAATGACCTATCGTTCTGAAAGAAAATAACTCCATATAGGTATATAATTAAGAATCACGCGCTTGCATATTCGCCCCTGTAGGCTGTTTGACCTTAGCCGTTTTTTAAGTGGCGTTCTATTTAAGCCACTTAGGAAAATGTTTGAAAAAACGATTCATGCGAAATTAAATATGTGTCAAATGTTTATTTCGTGCTCATTATTTACAGAGAAACTGAAAGTAGAGGGACTTCCCGAATTAGCCATTGGCAATCAGATTTGAACAAATTTTGAAAAGAAATTCGATATTTTATGGACTGCAGTTGCCCTTCATTCCAGAATTATGGGTATACACTATTAGCTTATCGAAAGTATTTTTGAAGACAAATAAACAAAAAAGAACTCCTTCACGTACCTTGAAAAACATCGTTTTCCAATAAAACGAGTGCGAGAGCAACAGTGTGACCATATACACATGCATACGAAACATTTAAATCTTGCTTTCTTAGGTTTCTGAGAATAAGTGTAAATCAGTTATTTCTAATTCCTCCTCCATATTTGGCAGAAGCTGGTTTTCCATGACTTTTGACATCTGAAATCAAAGTTCGAGGTACTCCATTTCCATTTAATAAATCCCATCCAGCATATTTAGGACAACAGTTAGGAACATGACAAAGCAATGTTAAGGTTTCACCATATCGAGTTATCTTCTGATCAACTGTCCACAACAAACTAGCTGAAATAGAGATATGGATTTAAAACTATATAGCCTCTCAGTTTTATGGAGGCCTAGGTCGATGTACATAGTAGAGATGTCACATAAAAATAAGTCAAAATTCAGTTGAGGAAAGGAGAAATATTTGCAATCGCACAATTCAAGAGCTAACATTTAGACGAAGTAAGTATAATTTGTTTTTCGTAGCAATGTATCACTTATGGTTATAGTCGACGAAGAATATCAGTCATTGGAATGTTACATAGTTAGACGTTATGTCCCTATGATATTTTTTGCCTTTCTATTAACATAAAACAATGATATTGATCTGAATGCACGGTAAAGTTCTTTTGATCCATTACAAGAAAAGCAGAACAGCTGACCTACAACGAATTACAGGTACCCGCCATCATACATCATGAAAGATGCAATCAGATTATCTTTAGGTTGGCCAATTGGAACATACTTATAAAGCTTGTAATTTATTTTTTTAATATGTTCTTATCATGTAGAATATTTATTTTTAGCAAAACAGCTTTTATTGAGCAAACACTAGATACGCTTGCAAACCAAGCTAATTTGATAGTTATTATTTTACTTGTATCACACAACTATTAGTTGCTATTTAATAACGAGTTTGTTTTATACTTTACCATTAACATAATGTAAGACCAGCAGTAGTGATATGTAACCACACAGTGCCATTTTCAAGGTCTCTATGATGAGTTAATTCCTAACATCAAGATCTTCTGAAATATAAAATAATATTACATTATAGATTATAATACTTCGTAGCTCAAAAAAGTTATATTAAATCAAAATATTTACAGCTGATGTTCAATTCATACAAATGCTAGTCTTTTGATGAATTAGGTGCTATAGGTATGTCGATTAAGTTGAAAAACACGCAGTCTTAACGTATATTATATGTTGTCAATCAAGAAATCAAGCATCTAGATAATATCAGTTTCAAAGAATTTTTGTATCAGAGTATTTTTAAAAAATTTTGAATACGTACGGAATGTCAGCACTTACTACTGAGCTGATGATACCATCGGGGACTAATAGAACAAGTGCTTGTAATCGAGTTTAACACTTTTACGTGCGTCCGATTCAATTTCATCAGGAACGCCCAAACCTAAACATTTCAAACCCGGGGATGCGTTAATACGCACCAACGTTAGGTAATGTACATTGCTATTGGGCACAAGGCACAGGTTGATTATAATAAGAATAATAAAAGAAATCGCTGATCAAAGCGTTCAAAAGATATTCAAATGGCAAATTTACATATATGTCTTGACGTGCGATATGTAAAGCTATACTTACATATCTATCTTTATCAGTTCTAAGTCCAGACTCTTATCTTTCTATTGAACAAAACTTTTATAATCTGCAGTAATATTTTCGATGGATGTGTAGAAACCCTAAATTCCTAACTACAACAAATTTTGCACATTGCTAATTATAATTAGGTTTAACGCCTACATTAAAGAAATATTACATTTCGGAAGTTTTTTGAAAATATTTCATCTTTATCTTCTTTAGGTTTGGCGTAACATGCAAAAATGAGTACAAATTGTCATTTCAGTTTAATCACTCAAATAATGAGTCGACGGAATGTTGACTATTTTAAATCATTTGTAGATCGTGTCTTGCTGATCAATTTGTTGTTTACAGATTGTTTTTATCTACTATTGTTTTTGCCTAAAATAAAAAAAAAAAATTTAAGGGAACAACATTACAGGTGAATAACTTTTTTAAGTAGTCGATTGGCAACATGAGCTATGTTTTGTACGTGGGCCGATTCTCACATCTTTTATTGCTGATAATTTTGTTCTGAGCTATTTATCTTTATCAGTTGTAGTTTAATTTTGCCCAATCAAAAATGGGTACAAATCGTTGTTTGGGGGCAATGACTCATGTAAGGAGTCGACGGACAATTTTAGTTACATTGAACTATTTTATAGCTCTTGACTTGCTGATTATTTCTTTTATTTACAGTTTTGCTGTATCTACTGTAGTGTTCGCCAAGAATGAAAACTTAAATGGACAAATAAGCGTCATTACATGGCAATACATGTAACTCATATAAGGTGTAATACCACCAGATCATAGTACGTCACATTCGGTTGCATACGAAAAAGGGTCGAAAAAAATATTCCCTTGAATTTGACAATTGTAGGAAATTAATCCTACATTTCATTGCAGTAAAAAATTTCTGAGTCATAAACATATATCTTGGGTGTTTCAAAGCGCCCTTATTTTTTATTTGGTGTTTCTATAGAATATTTTGGAAACCTGAGGTTACATGGTTACTGAAGCTTGTACAAAAGAAGTTAACAGTATCCGTTAACTTCACTTTCCGCTATATAGACGATGTTCTCTCCCATCGAACTTGAGATAAAGGATATAACAGATACAGTATAGTCGGCCTCATATTAGTGAGAGGTTTAGCTTGCTATTTAACCATGTGTAATCCAGCATTTTATACATAAGGAAATGCCTATACCAAGTCAGGAATATGACAGTTGTTTTCAATTCGTTTGATGTGTTTGACCTTTGATTTTGCTATATGATAAGGGACTTTCCGTTTTGAATTTTCCTTGAAGTTCGGTATTTTTTGTTATTTTACTTTTTAGCATATTTATTATATCTGCTTTGTTCTAAGTTTTTGGAATAAGTATAACATGTATAACTCTCTAGAAAGTAGGATTTTTCAAACCCAGAACAAGAAAAGGAAAATATATCTGATAATGTTATTCGAAGATGTTGAGGATCGTTCAAAGTAAACTGAAAAAAGAAAGATCTTCAGAATAGGTCATAATCTTATGTTCGTTTTAAAGTACAATGAAGTATAGCGTTTCGTTTTATCAGAATACAGATATCAATCACATGCATAAAAACATATAGTGGTTTAAAATAAAGCATGTTTGACTAAAAGCATTAGTCCACAGTTTATATGAAATCAAGAAATATACATATCAAGTTGTTATTCAGTGCTTCAACTGACAGTCAGCAAAGAATAATCAACACGTATGGTATTGTATGTTTCATGCATTCGATTTGACCAAAACATTAGCAGAGTACATTTAAAAGAAATTAGGAACACATTATTCATGAACACATTGCTTATGAACACATTAATTATGAACACATGTTTATGAACACATTAATTATGAACACATTTTTATGAACACATTGATAATGAATACAATGTTAATGAACACATTGAGTATGAACACATTGTTCATGAACATATTGATTATGAATACATTATTTATAAACACATTAATTATGAACACTTTGTTAATGATCACATCGATTATGAAAATATTGTTTATGAACACATTGATTATGAACACACTGCTTATGTACACACTGTTTATGAACACATTAATTATGAATACATTGTTTATGTACACATTGTTTATGAATGCATCAGTAGATAACAAAACCTACATACAGTTCTTAAATAATAATATTGCACGGTTTACATACCAAACACAATTTTCTGTTGCTTACTTGTAAATTATTTACATTACATGTAACCACATCCTTTGTATAGCATCTCAAACCCGTCATTTCAATACAGACTAGGAACACGCATTTGGAATGTACGATCAATATCATACATTTTTATTAGATTTAATCTAATTTCCAAGAATATGATAGTAATCAGACTAAATTACCATTAATTAACACTGACGGCTTTGTGTCTTCTGCGTTTTATGTCTTATATTTTCTGTTTATATATCTGGATGTTTGTATGTTAGAGACACTCCACTGTCAATGCTTTTTGAACCACAATGTTTCATTTCTGTTTCTGATTGGCCGCTCATGCTATTAAAAGTGTTCATATTAATACCTTTGATTCCAAAATTAAAGTTTTCCAGATTACTGAGTATCGTCTCATTATTGTCACTACTGTTTAGTGCTGAAATAACAAAAAAACCCATTTACAATCTATTGATTCTAAGAATGTAATAATGTGATGTATCTAGCTTGCCTCTTAAACAAAAACTGCTTCAACAAATTAATGAGGACGAACGACTGAAATCGACACTTATTAAGTTTTTACAGTAAACATTACGGATTGGATGACCGCTAAGACATGTTAGTGATACACCTCAACTCACCTGCGACATGTTGTCAAAGTCTTAGAAAAGTCATCTAATCTTACATTTTACCGATTGTGTCGTTTTCCCGAATGTTACATTTTGACTGAATGTCATCTCAACACACCCGGTCTACCATCTATTTATTAGTTTTTGCCTGTGTCTTCTTGAATGATGTATTGAGATATGAACATCGCTTCACAACTGTTACCTTATTCAGGGATCGTCGAGATTGCAGTATATTGTAGTTATTTCAGAAGGACAGGGAGAGAACTTGACTAGCAGTACGTTTCCCAGTTTGGTCTAAAAGCTAAACCTGCATTTATGTAAATTATATGCTGTAAAAGCAATTTGGAGCACAAACTGTATTTGTTTCATTAACAATAACATATCTTTGTTGGCTTTACTGTTTAGTCAATTAAGATATTTTCAGTCTATGTTCGGATTTTGTTTTATCCCCGCCACATTCTGTATGTGCATGTCCCAAGTCAAGAGCCTGTAATTCAGGGGTTGTCGTGGTTTGCTGTATATCATATTTTTCTTCGATTATCATTTTGTTTTAAATCAGGCCGTTAGTTTTCTCGTTGAATTTTTTGCATTTTACATTTCAGGGCCTTTTATAGCTGACTATGTGGTATGGGTCTTGCTCATTGTTGAAGTCCGCATAGTGACCTATTGTTGTTAATTTCTATGTCATTTATTCTCTTGTGGAGAGTGGTCTCATTGGCAATCATACCACATCCTATTATTTTTATAGTCAGTAGTTGTTATTGACCTGTATACATCAACATTATCCGGAGTTGTCCGAAAAGCTACTGAAGAGAACTAAATTGACTGCAGCGAATTGTTCGAACAGTACTGAATTTACCGCAGAGGATAAGTGTAAAAATTTACCTAAACACAAGACTCAATAATTCATTGGTAACAATTGTCAGATGATGTAAAGTCCAAAAAGATCGCTAAAGACTTAAATTCAGGTATTAATGCAATACCGTATGGTTAGCTACAAAAGTCCCAGACATGACTAAATGTGGAACACTTCAAACGAAAAAAATTTAAAAAAAAAATCACGACCTGATTTATGATAGAACAAGAAACGAGAGACAAATATGGGAGACAGCAACTAACGGGAACCAATGAATTACAGGCTCCTGACTAGGGACAAGAACATATAAAATGTGTTGGGATTAAACATATATGAAAGCGCTCATTCACTCACAATAACTTGTGAAAGTAGAGTAATAGCATTATAAAAATTAAAAAAAACCAACTGGTTCTTTTGTCTATTTCTATTATCAATAGAATGTCTGATTATCATCGCTTGTTTAAATATACTTTAAATACCAAGAGGTCCTCGAACGGGCGGATAATGTTTGATTACCGCCTTGTTCTCCTGTCAATTATTGATGTCGACCGTTAAATAATTTATCCTTATGTTCATATTACCTACCAATTTGAAATTAATAATCATTTAAGTTACAGTAACTGTTAAAAGACATTAAATAACGTTGCTGTTTCTTTTGATTTGTTACACATTTTGTCCTCCCGGAGCTCGCTATATTTGTTGAAGGCCGTACGGTGATCTGTAGTTGTTTACATTTTTTGTATTTTGGTTTTTGATCGATTGTCGTTTATCGGATGTCATAAATCAAGCGTAGCAGGATCTGCTAACACTTCAGCAGTACATGAGATTACCCAGGTGTTTTTTGGGATTGTGTTGCTCAGTATTTAGATTTTCCGCGATAGTAATGTTTTGTGGACTTGTCTTTTGTTTTACTGTGATAGTATAAAAACAAATTAAATTTTTGCAGTGAAAAGAAAGATCCTCATTTATATACGTTCACAGTGTAATCAATGGTTGAAATGTATATACATGTATACAGTTGGTTGATGTATGTCTGGGAAAGGCTGATGTCTGTATAAGTAATGTCAAAATACATTTGGCAATTATTGAGATGAACAATGCAACAAGAAAAAAATGATTCCCAGTAAATAATTAAATAAACATTCTATCTTCTGCCAGAACACATTATGTACCAGTATTCTACATTTCTAAAATGTGAATAGTTCTATGAAACATGAGCTAACACTTGAAGCTAGTATACTTACGTATACTTACTAGACACATGCATAGACATGTAGTCCCCGGAAGCTGCAAAAGTCGAAGGCAAAGTTTTTATAAAATATTAACAAAATAAATTTAGTAAGCATGTTTATATTAACATATACAAAAAAGGCCAGCAATATACATAAAAATGAACCATAAATCATTAATTATTTTGATAGTTTACAACTTTGCATTTTCAATTTGAATAGTATAATACTTAACTAAATTAGTTTCTGATTTATGTCAACGCATCAGGCCTTGTTTCTTTTGAAGTTCATGCAATTACCTCAGTTTTTAATTGATACCTTGATTTGTCTTGTTAAACGATTTATGATATATGAACATCGGTTTAAATACTGTTGCCTTTGATAAGATTTACATTTGAAACATTTAGTTGCTCTGAATCGTATCAGTATATGAACACAACAAAGAATAATGCTAATTATGTTACATAGTGATACACTCACCCTCATTAGATTGAGTTTGATAGCCACTGGTATCACTTTGATGCGCTGTAAATAGATAAAAATTAGGCTTGAATTAAGTGAAATGTGTTGCTGCAAAAAAGATGTAGTTAGTTTATCTGGTCTACAAATAGAATAATAGAATATTATCGGGTAATTTAAATAATTCTCATACTAGTATAAGACCTTAAAAATATAAAATCTAATAAGACAACAAATATTACCTTTTAGGATTTTAGCTTAAACAATGTAACAAAGATTTGTTTTTCTGACATCTTTTGCCCTCTTTCACGTATTTTGTTGTATTTTAACTTTTAAATTTAAATTCCTTCATGATTTGAGAAAATGAAATATATTCGTCGCTAAAACACAGGTTATGACATTGGTGATTCGTTTATCAATGCAAATTCACAAAATGTTCATATACAGATCGATGAACATTTAATGGCATATACATATATAAGAATCTCAGAATAGAAACCAACTAATTTGTGCAGCGAAACTGACAAGAGATATATACCAATACGATAATTTTACATCGCACATATTTTCGGAACAGCAAATGACATCGACAGTGTCGGTCTTTTTGACAATAAGAGTAAAATGTGAATGTAAGCTGATGCGATTGTGGTAATTTTGTGTTGAGATTCTTGATTCTTAATATACTAACAAAATTCCCTACTGAACAACTAGAAATAAATATAAAGATTTATGATTGTGTCTATTGGTTGTTGACTCAATGTCATGTACCTCACGATATATAACATTAATATAGGTAACATAAATAAGTTATTTCGACATTTACTATTGTGATTTACTAAAAAAAGTAAAACATGGATTTTTCACACCAGTTTTACAGGTGACCAAAATACATAAAAGAAAAATATACCTTGACCAATTCCTGTCCAAAGAGTATGAGGTTCAGAGTCTGTTGTGACTGGACTGTATGTGTCAGAAACATTAAAACTGTCATTGGGGTTCATTGTTGGTATATCAATTGATAATGGTTTCTGCATTTTATTTTTCAATTTCTTTTCAATTTTCATGTCTTTTTTGCCACTAGTTTTCGCATTTGTCGGTAATTCATTAACGTCTGTTAATTGCTGCTTTAAAGCTTGACGATACGTGTTGTAATAATTTGATGTTGAATCTGTTGACGTTTTACAATTTTCACATTTGCCATTTACTGCTGCAATTATGCCATTTCCCTCATGAAAACCAGATTCGTTTGAAATAGACATGACATCTGCCTGTGTCCCGCTTTTAAAATTATGCGATGGATAATGCCATTGAGGTTGACCACCCGGATTATCAGTTATATTTCGACCTTCTGTCTTTCGAATTGTTACATTGTCATCTTGATTCGCAACTTTAATCAAAGGTTCGATGTGTATATGATCTGTGTTGTCTGGTTGCCCTCTCCCTAACAGGAATTAATAGAAAATGTTGTAACATTAAAAGAATGTCAAGACCCACATATTTTTCTGACTTTTGGGAAATAGTTATGATGTATTGTTTATATTTATTGTCTCTTCAATCTTACATGTTGATACTGTGAATTGTATTTTTCAGTGTCTGTTCGCTTCTATCAATCAATTAAAATCGGATTAAAAAAAGAGATAGGGAATGTATAAGACAAGATACAAATTTACTATTGTATGATGCTTTATAATAGACTATAACTTGTCACTGGAATTCAAAAATGAAGATAACCTTCATACTTTACCGAGCAACTTCAAGTATTTTATGGTGTTTGGGAATGATAGTCTTTAACGTGTTGCTTAATGATTATTTTTTTCTTTGATTATATCGCCTTTTTTTCTCGGATTACGTCTTTAATTGTTTTGTTTGCAATATTCAAGATACGGTGCATTAAAAAAACTCTTTGTCTTTATTGACTCAGTGATAAAAAATTCTATCACATAATTCTATGCTTGAGATTGCATAACGAAATGTCTTTTGAATGCAAATGAGTTATTGATTTTGGATTTTTGCTTATAATAAATCATAAAAAACTCATTTACTAAACGTAGACTAATATTATGTTTACAAAATATAATTACTGTTCAATAAATATGTGAAACTTCGATCAATGTAGGAAGATATACCACTGTCATAAAACATTCTATTTGACTTACCATGTGTCCAACAGATCCCCGCAAGAACAAAGCCGGATCTTTTAAAGCAAATCGCTATTGTAACCATAGATAATAATATGATCAGCACGCTAAGGGCAACCATACTGTAAAATATGGTCAATTTCTAAGTAAAAAAAATGTTCGTAGAAACAACAACAGGAATAATAAGAAAGATTCCATTAGGGAATCTAAAAACCATAAGCTGACGGAAGACCGACAACACTTTGGCAAAATAGACGAACAGACAAGAAATTCAATAATGGACTACATACTGCGATACACATTTATAATGGACAAATTTTTTATCGTTAAAAATCCTTGCTTTTATTGCAATGGACTTATGTAAAGTAAATTATAAAAAAGGTGTATACTTACAAAATTACCAAAAGATTATCATTTTCTTCCAGTCTATTTGGATTCATCTGAACGTCTGTAATGATGATTATATATATATATATATATATGAATGTAAAAATGACAAATAAATTTTAGTGATATGAAAACAGAAACATCAATTAAAAACGATTTATGAATAAAACGTTTTAAAACAGTTATCGCTATGAATGATAATTAATCAACAATATAAATTCCTAATGGAAGTGGAATACATGCAATTGTACTACGTTGCAACTAAAAACGGAAAATGCAATGCATACACATTCCAAGTTGTTGAAATAATTTAAAATAGTTGCTTATATATGTTACAAGCATGCCAGTAATCACGACATATATATTAGAAAAGCCATAAACATGTACAGACAAAAGTCATATATGAATTTGACTCAACGCAAAATGATTGAATTATACATACGTGCAGGTGATGGTAAAGATATGTAAGTGCTAACTATACGAGCGTTCTGTGTAGTAGGATTGACAATGTGATTACTGAAATGAATCCAACGAGATGAATTGTCAAACTTGACTTAAACAAACCGGAAATGTTTTGTACAATTTATAAAGCAAATGAGAAAATTCTGCAACAGAGTAATATTGGTTGACAATTTCGCGTAAGATCTTCATCCAGATAGTAATATTTGTTGAATGTTCATATTAAAGATTTCTTTACAGAGTAAGATTGGTGGATCGTTTCCTTTGAAATAATTATCAACAGAGTACAGTTGGTTGAATATTTCATCGATACAGTTATAATGGTTAAGTAAACCACAACACCGTAATTGTAAAGAATCAGTTCGTTGGACGATCCACAAAAGTTGTCGTTAGCATGCTCACTCATTGACGCATACTCCACATTTCTTTTCATTCATATGAATAGAGTTGTGTTGTTTGAAATGCAAAAACGCTAGAAAGTAATGCAAAACATTCGCATAACAAGTGCAAAAGTTAAAAACAAATACGAAAGACTACACAGCTATGCAATGTTATGATCTCCAGACCATGATTTATGTCGGTCAAGTAGATAGATAAAACATGGGAAAGATTCATTGAAACAGATTTCAGACGCAGGATAATATTGCACGCACCTACCATATCAAGGAATCCGCGTTAACAATTTTTAGATTATAAGTTTCTATATTACAAACCTTCTTTGCAAATGTCGACAAGGACCACAGCCGTTGTCATTCTTATATGTACCATTTGGACAGGGAATGCATTCTAAAATTTAAGAAAATTTGCATGGAGGTTAAAACCATGATATATAGCTAATACACGTTCATATACAACAATAAATATTTTATGTTTTATGTTTTTTAGGTCATATTCTCCAGACATATTTGGTTTCTGATGCTTTCGAAATATATGTAACAATTTTATGAACACTAGATTTAAAGCAAATGTAAGAATAGGTTCGAAACATAGAATAATATTAGCAGTACAAATGATAGCTCTTCAGTTATTCTCGATGCAAAAAGAAATTTGAAAATACCAAAACAAATAAAAACTTTGAAGAGCAGATATAACCGAAATTAACGAAAAAATATAGCCAAACCCAAACAAGTAGTCCTAAATATACATGAGTAAAACATGTTTTTAAATTCAAATGAAAATAAATTAATTTCGTGCGTCCGAAGCACTTTTCTCGATTAACCATCTAGAATGCTTAAACCCAAACATTTGAAAGCCACGGATGTATAAAACAATACACATGGAGAGCTATATGACAAAAAGGGACTTACAAATATTCAAATAACCAAATATAACATTTATACTACTAGGATTTAACATAATTTAGAGTAAGGTTCGCTGCTCTGTTTAAAAAAAAAACACGTTTGTTATAAATTGAAAGTATATAAATAAAGGAACTAAACATGAAATGTGTCCTTGTTTATCAGATATAGGCCATCAAAGAATTCAGCGGTAAAAGATTCTTTTTAGACTTTTCATACGTTTAACATTGACACAGTTCAAAAACTTTGCAAAAATAACAAAGATGTTATTAGATCTTAGAAAAGACTTTTTAAACTATATGTCATAAGATTATGAAAGGAAAAGTAGAGGTTAGCGGCCAAAATTGTAATGGCACTACATGGATAAAACAAGAGGAGTCCAACTATCTGGCAATAGTCAAAATCAAGATCAACGAACATCCTTAACTCAAAGTGATAAAAGTAAAGCAAAATGAAATACATAATTTTAATAATATACTAATATGCCTGCATACAACTTATGCTTAGATCTATATGAATCTGCTTTGCCTCATTTACTTACATTTTTTGACGCATTTCCCTGGATCTCAAAAGGACTGATATTTAAAGGGTATCATCAGCTCAGTAGTCAGAACTTCGGTACTGACACGATTTATAACAAACCTTTCTAAAATTTTCCGTTTAAAAGTTCCCTCAGGCAAAGTTGACCTTAGATGGATTTGGCTTTTTTAGGTCCTTTTTGGTAGTATAGCTCTTCAACTGTTTAGGTTCTTATACATCCTTTACTTTCAAATATTTGGAATTGAGCGTTCCTGATGAAGGTAAATCCAGCAAAGTGCTGCGGACGCACAGTAAATTCTGAACATTCTAGTATGATGACCAGTCGTTTTGCTTAAAATTCACCAAATAAACCAAGTTTAACGATAAGTATACAACTTATTGAATACCTCCGGCTTCGTTTAATGTTGTTCCAGGTTGGCAGCCATCTCTTTTTTCGTCACATAAGCAGGGATCTCCGTAGAAGCATGCTATTGTTTTGCACTTGCAACCATGTAGACTGTCACATAAACCTCTATCAGCATTGTTCCAATTTCGTTTGTTTGTGATATCTGTAAAAAAAAGAACTAAAACTAAAACATGTAATTCTGGTACTCGTGTATTATTTGCGTGTATAGATTTGTATTTTCTTGGCAGAATGATCTTAAATAGTCCTAAAACTAGGTACACGTACAGACTGCTTGTTTCGATTACAAATTCCTTTTCCGCCCCATTACGTTCATCAATAAGAAATGTTCATACGTTCCCTCTGGGTCTACTATATTTGTTCTGTTATACTCCTACATTCCTTAAAGATCTTGAATGTTGTTTAGCGAGTCCATCCCGTTCTTTAAAATTGCCATATTTAGATACGATAATGTGTGTCTATTGTAATATATGATCTTTTATGATGTTAAAAAAATAATTTTAAACTGATAGTTCGCCTATTTCATTTATAAAATGTGTATAGTTAGGCCTTTGAAAACGGAATTGAAAGTCAACGTAATTTGGCTTTATGAGGAGAATGCGAATATCAGTTGTCATCAGTAATATGAACAATGAAGTAAAATATCTGATAAAATAGTATGCCCCACGATGGTATTTTATTTCACCTGTATAAAAATGCAATGTTTAGAGATCAAAAGATTCTTACATACAAACTTGCTCACATTAGTATATCAAATCGTTAAATCAAAAGTCATATCATGCCTAATTATGCTGATTATAAATTTACAAATCACGGGGTCTTCTAACTGATTATCACATTTAATATCTTTTATGTATATAAACTTCTTAAAAAATATTGCTGGTTTGGCTTTCATGGCAACATTCATAAAAAAGTTCGATAATCCACGTTACAGATCGGTAAAATGGACGGGTATACAACATATAGTTTAAGAAATTGAAACAAATTACCACAGATAACATACATCGAAAACAGTGTTTGACACGGTAAAATTGCAACATCCAGAATGATCAGTTTGTTTTCAAGGACATCTGTCAGGTGTTAATCCTAATATATCCTGCTATCTATGATGAGTCTATATGCAGATAACAAAATATGAAGGGACATGATATATAAACTTCGGACGTTTTCGTTGAAATTTTTTATTTTATAAGCTAACACTAAAATATAAGAGATATACACGGAAGTTAACAATTTTCATGATTTGTTTTTAAATACTTTTACCGGATGCAAAGTAGCAATACAAATTTTACTCAAGTTAATCTTTCATAAAACTTATGATGTCGACTAATTCTTGAGTGATTATACCAACCGACATTAGGTCTAGCCTTAATATTTAGTCTTTGTTAACAATTATTGAAAAATGACCTTGCTGTATTTCAGGAGTTGATGGCGATATCAAATATTATCAATGAATCTCCAATGATCAGTCAACACGACGGTTTCTGGATTTGTAAATTTTTTATTTATGATTATACCTTGCGCTAGACAATACTTTTTGGGTCTGAAACATGCAGTATTATTTGTATTGCCCTTCACTGAAGATGATATAAGATCTGGCTGGACCATTCCATCAACACAAGGTCTACATAAATCACGAGTAGAGTTTACTGTACATGGTTGTATTTCATTTCCTATAAATAAGAAAAACATTGAATGTATCATCTTGATATCGTTTCATTTTCAGAAAGAAAAGTAAAACAGTAACTGTCTTTATTTATTACTTGTTTTGTTCATATTTACATAAAATTGGAAAGGGAAGAAAGAGAGAGTAAGATACGGTATGATGAATAAATAGGTCTTACTGACTTGACTAACCTTCCGGAGCTCGTTTTTTTTGGGGTTCGTGTTGCTCAGTTTTAGTTTTCTATGTAGTGTTTCAGTGTTGTTGATTGTCTTTTGGTGATTTTTTGCCATAGCATTGTCAGTTCGTTTCCGAATTCTGAGTTTTATTACCCTTTTGGTATATTTCAACTTTTTTGTTAACATTACAATACAATAACAAATTATAAATTAATATACTGACTCTTTGAATGAGTTTTACATATAAACTGCATATATCACGTACCTGGCTCACAATCATAGTAAGGCAAACAATATCTGTTAAGCTGTTTGTAATATATATGGCTCATTGAAACCTTGAACAAAAGAAACAAAAGCTTTCATACATTTACGATTAAATATTATTATATCTGGCATTGTCAAATTCTAAATGACATTTCATCGTCTACAATGCGTCTAAAATACTAAAAGAACATTTTTACTAAGCATGGCTCACAAGGAAGACGGATTTATATAAGTTCTTCTTGTATCCGAATCCCTGTATTTCTTTTGCAAAAATGTAATTTGTGCACTTTTGAAAAACAAAATATTGTTTAAAATAGGCATGGCTCAAACTGAAAGACATATAGTTAGATTGTAAAGGTTGTTATTGCAACTGGTTTATGCCAGATACAGACGAACATTTATTTTGCGTTTATTTGCAAATGCAATTTTTACGCACTTTTGAATGCCAAAGTCTGTAAAAGTGCTTAACCATGGACAGAGCTACATGTAAAACCAGTTGTAGCAATCACAACTTGTGTCAAAACTGAAGGATATTCTTATTCAAAATGTAAACACAAAAATTCTTTTTCTTGTAAAATATCAAACACATTTTAAACACTTTAATAACACTTTTACTTTCATTTGATTTGTTTAACTGAACCAATTACAATAGAACCTTTGAAGAAAATAATATTGTTCATTAATCATTTTACAAATCGATCATATACAGCGTATGTTTTGATATCAAAAAGAAATCTGAATTTGATTATTATCAATAACACGGAAGATAAACGATCTAGGACGTAAAAATTCGCAGACTAAATAACATCCATGCGAAATTGGATCAGACGCCGTTGCATTCTTGTATTTAATATTAATAATAATAATTTCATAAAATTCCAGAATATTTAATCAATTTTGATGAAAAATAATGTTTTAGGGTCTTCTGTAACAGTAGGACAACCGGAAGCGTCTGAGTAAGGATTTCGGTGCTTAGTGATACGGTTCACTAGACGACGATGTCAACACGTAATGGCGGCCATTGTTTGACGTTGGTTTTGGCATTTCATTCTGTAAAGTTGCATGTATGACATTCTTGGATGCTTTAACTTTATGCCACACAACATAAAAGGTAAAGACTTATTTCAGATATTCAACTAATTATTTTCAAATAAGTGTGATCCCAAGAAATGATTTAAACAGCAAAAATAAAGTGTAAAATTGTATGAAACATGAAATCCCATTTTTCATCATTCCCTATCATATATTGAATCCACTATTTACACCCAATACTGGTGAATTAGATTCGGATTTCGGTCTTAGGTATCCGCCCTTGTCTCCAAAAAAATATAAACACACAAGTTGTCAACATCCGTTTTCAAACTGTTCAAAGTTTTCTTCACAATCTCCCTGGAAAATATTTACCCAATCACCTTTTAATTTTTATGTGGGTGGGAAGGGGGAATTTAAGGGGACAGAATATTCATGTTCATCCTGTGTCAGCACTATTGAGTAATATTTATATCAAGTTCAGTTATTACCATGATTACATGTACATCATGTACATTTACCAGACCAGAACATTCATTACCCTAAGGACCCCCCCTTTCACACAAAAAAAATTATTTAAAAAGTTATCCTCTAAATATTATTAAAGAAATTTACACATTGAAATTATCCAATCACTCACCCATTTGAAAGCTTATACATGCATAACCCCAGAAACTAACAAAATAATGCCTGTATAATTTCATTATGTTATAGTCTTCCAACTGTCTCATTAAAAATGAAAATCCATTGACAATATTACTTTCTAAAACTTCATTAGTTTTATCAAATTCAAGGTGTCAACTTAGTGTCAGTACAGTCTAGGCAGTGGTGGTTCCAGAAATAAAAACAAAAGGTTATGGTTGACCTCAAAATGTATAAAATTTCGGCATGCATTGTACAATGTACATGCTATGCTGTTTATGTACAATATTAGGTATAACAATGTAATCAAAAGGTTTGGTATAACATAAATGTTCTCCATGTTGAACATAAAAAATATTTTTCAAGACTTTGAAATGTTTTCTTTGCCTGTAACTTTTACGTATTTAGAAAAATGTTAGGCGGCATAATTATTTATAATACATGTACATGTACATGTATTTTGTTGGTAATTTATTTGGCAAATTTGTATTCTTGTGTTGATGATAACAATACAAAGTTTAATTTTGCTTTGAAGACTTTAGTTATATACCTTTAGTAAGTGTATGTACATGTACTTTGTATTATCAGGACAGAGAAAGATGTTCACTACGGATTAAAACAGAGGACTTTTATATATAAACAAAAATACTTATACATGTAACAAGAAAATAGACATGGAATGTCTATGTGATTGCAGCAACACATTTTAATGGAGTGATGTTGGAAGCAAAATTATTTTTGTTCGTAGAAAACAATATGACTACAATATGTTAGGGGTAAGTAATCAAAAAGTGTCTGTTAAGGGTTACAAAAGTGGGTTATTTACAATTGACTATGATGTCAATTCCCCAAATATGAAACAAACATGATATACATTGTATTCAAACTGTTTTCATATGGAAACAGACTGAAAATATTCTTCATTTAACAGTCAGACATGTAAGTTCCCAATTAAATAAATTGGGACTGGATTTATAGGATGTAGGCCAAGGTATCCTATCCAGACTTTAAGGCCCAATGATATACTTTTAATAGTTTAAAAGATTTTATATAGAATAACCATACATTGTCTTCAAATATAAATTTTATTTGTACAAGACTTAGAAACAGGTCGAAAGCGAGGCTTTGCCAAGCATTTCTATCCTGTTTTGAGCCGAGTACAATTAAAACTTATATTTCGAGACAATGTATGGTTATTCTATATATACTGCAACTCCTACAACTGTTCTAAATGAAATATATAGGATAAAAACCATCATTTTTTAATTTGGAGCGAACGACGTAAAAATTCCGCGAACCTGCACTTTTAATGACGTCATAAATAAATCTCTACGGAAACGCATTGTCAACGTCATAAACAAGGTGATATACGGTCATAATATCAAAAATGATTATACGGTCAATGCAATTTGACCGCGCAAATAGCACAGTTGCAGTAAATATTCTATTATCTATGCTCTGTTAATGTCAATATTGTTTCCTTCAGATTTAAAACCTTATTTCAAGAATGTAGGGTACAGTAATTTAAAATTCATTTATATGATTGAAAACAATATAAGGAAAGTAACTATTACATGATATGCATCATATGCTGATCAAGTATTAACATGGTGTTTCTGAAAACTTTTAATTTAAATTATTTTGCTAACCACCTTCACCAAAATTAATGAAAGTTTATTCAATTTGACCATTTTCTTTCAGATAAGAGAATGACTTGAGCCCATATTGGGGTCATAACAATGAAATACAATATATCATAATTATCATTCTTCATAACTTTTGATTGAATTAACAAACTTATTTTATTAACATGATATTTTCTTATTTTCAGTACACAACAGATCCTTTCAGAAGGATAATTTTACTGGAGGATACAATTTTAATACCTGGATTCAGCAATTTATATGAAATTTGTTAAGAGAGATATAGTCATATACAGAATTGCTTCCAAGGTGGTAACCCCAACAGATATACCCAGGAGCAGACATTTTCGTTTAACTAATGCAGCATTTAATAAATGAAACTTTGGCAGAATATGGGCTCCAAAGTGTTGTAAAAAGAGGAATTTCAAATATGTGAGACTCATCAAAATGTGCATAAGTGAAACTTTCAATATTTTGTAGTAAATTCAGATTATTGACTCAGTTGTTTTCATGAACTTTTTTATCATAGCAATATCACTTTTATATAATTAATAAGATTCCATATGTTTTACTTTATACTTTAAGTGACAACCAAATATTTGAGACATATTTTCGAAAAACTCGAAATGCTACACCTATTATCCTGAAATTTTAACACGTGATTAGGAATAACAAAAGAAAGCTCCCTTTTGCTTTTGACAAATTCAAGTTTTTTCATTCAGAATTATTGGACTTTATTCATGGAAAATTAGACATTTGCCCAAACGTTGTAGAAGAACTCAACTTTGCTTTGATACTTTTTCAAGATATTGTATCACAAGTTTAGATTTGATCAAATAATCTCACTTTTGTCATTCCAAAGTTATGGTGCTTATTTCCATACAGAATTGAGAATTTATCACATATCACATACTTATATAATCTAGTATGCTTGGATTGATTTCCTACACTTTTGCCCGGTTGTTGAGTTTGAAGACAGCAACCGAAAGGAGAATATAGGTGCACAGCATACAAAAAAAAATATTTCATATGCCTAGCTACATTGTATCCTTTGAAAAATGTCATTGATTTTTATATATGCACATTGTAATTGAGTGACAGAATTTAATTATTTTATCCCTATCAATTTGGATGTGGGGGTCTATGCCCCCTTAAGACATGCATTCAACACTGCATGACTATTACAAGCTATAATACAGCCAACCATACAACATAGCCCCTGCCACCGAAAGGAGAATATAGGTGCATAGCATACAAAAAAAAATATTTCATATGCCTAGCTACATTGTATCCTTTGAAATATGTCATTGATTTTTATATATGTACATTGTAATTTTTCTTTTAAAGTAGTTATTTATAATTAAAGGTACTATCGTTCTCTTTCAGCTGGCCTGCTTTAGACACGATTAGAGTTCCAATATAAAAACGAGAAGTTGGGGTATGATTGCCAATGAGATAACTTTCCACTAGATACCAAATGACGTAGAGGTCTCTGACCGCCTTCAACAATGATCAAAACCAATACCGCATAGTTAACTATGAAAGACGCCTAAATAACATGACACAAGACAGACTGAAAATGAATATTCTGCATCTGTATACAAAAGTGAAAATAAATTAAAAAAAAAAAATAAGCATGTGTGGTAATAAATGCAAATAAAAAGTCAATCCAGAAAAAGATCTACTGCCCCCTATGGAACGCCTCAGCTGTCTTATGTGGAACTCTGATATAACGTTATGTGGTTTTATTATTACTAAATAATATTTTGTCTTTGCATAATATGGTTTTGACATTACGTAATGATATTTTAATATAACTCAATATGGAATAGTCATTACTTAATAATATTTCGATATTACACGAAATGGTTTCGTATTGACTTAATATAGTTTTGTCATTACTTAATATGGTTTTGTCATTACTCGATGTGGTTTCATCATTATTTAATTTGGTTGTTTCATTAGGCAATGTGGTTTTAACAGTACTTGATGTGTATGTGACTTAACGTTATGTAGTTGTTTCATTACATGATGTAGTTTTGTTATTTCGTAATGATGATTTGCCAATTCTTTATATGGCTATAACATAACGTAATGATGTTTCAAAATTTGACGATTTTGCATTACATCATGTGTTTGTTTCAGTACTTGATGTGGTCCTTTCATTCTTTGATGTGGTTATCACATTACTTGATGAGGTAAAACCACGTGACCAATTCGGAAAAACTAGTTCTATTTTTAGATAAATTTCAATGTAATATGTGCCTTGGATGAGTGTGGCCATCCATCGAGTTAGAGTTCAGACTAAAGCTCGGGTTACTGTTCGAGTTAAACTTTGAGTTAGTCTTCGATTTAAGTAAGAATTAAAGGCATTATTAGAATTAAAGTTCAAGTTAGCATTGAGTTTCGAGTTGAACTTCGAGTTCGAGTCAAATTTAAAGGTTTCGAGTTTAATACAATAATGAATTCGACTTCAAATTTGAATTTGAGTCACCTTTTGTAGAAGAGTTCGAGTTAGAGTCGAATTTGAGATTAAGATTTCGAGTTGAAAATGGAGTTATATAATATGAGTTCGTATTTATATTTTTTATCGCGGATAAAGGGCGGTTGCTCTGCCTTCTGAAAAGAGGGCTCAGGGGTATGTGTACAAAACATAAACAATGTTACAGTATACAAAACACAACATAGAATTTGAAATAAAGTTAGATGTGGTGTGATTGCCAATGAGACAACTATCCACCAGAGTTTAAATGAATGGATGTAAGCAATCATAGGCAACCGTACAGCCTTCAACGCACTGTAGTAAAAAAAGGCTACAAAAGACCACCACGTGAAAAGGAGAAACAATTCAAACAAGAAAACTAACGGTCTAATTTATAACTAAAAAATCTACGAAAAACAAATATGATTTACACGAAACAACGATAACCAATGAACTACAGGCACATAAAGAAAGTGCACGTGGTAGAGTTTAACATGTATGTGAGCGCTAAACCCTAACCTAACCTCGGACTGTAGTGTAACAGCACAACATAAGAAAAAAAATGTAAAACTTATTTCATTTGGCTTAAGGTAGATGGGGTGTCTAAATCATAATCCATAGAATTTTTTAATAATTTGCCAAAATGTAGTTTATATCATACTTATTCAAAAATTATAATAAAAAGAATGGGTCACGGGTCTTGTTTTTACGCTACAGGTTGTGCAAAATTGACAGATTTTGTAAAGATTATGCATGGAAAACCCAATTTTCTGCCATAAAACGAAAACTACACCATAGAATTTTGAGATAGAATATGAGAAGATAGCTCTAATATTATGCTTTCAGATAAGAAAAAGAAAAAATGGGGTCACGGGACCCGTTTTCTTGCTACATAATAAAATAGGTAAATTCCTAACACATTCTATTGTAAAAGTAACTTTATCTGAATGATCTGCTCTTACATTTGAGTTGCCTCCCCTCATGTGGCAAAGTTGGAAAAAATTGAATCTAACAAAAGTATTCTGTTTTTTGTAAAATACAACCATAAATATGATAAAACATGTCATTTTTCTATATTGAATTGAAAATTCTTACACATGAATTACCTACTACTCTCAAAATTTGCACATTTTATTTAAAATCTAGACCGATTGTTTTCTGGTATTTCGAAATCCAAGATGGAGGAAGACACCCTATCTACCTTAACTCAATAGATCGGTATTACTGGGTTTTATAAATCCATCGGGGGTGATCTCGCGTGCCCCGGAAGGATAAGCAGATTCTGCTAAACGTGTGGCACCCGTCGTGATATTCGTGATTTGGTTTTATTTGGTAATTCACATTCGAGGAAAAGATGTCGGGGTTGTGGTTACGAAAACTGGAACATATCCGTCGTCACCTGTGAAACAGATATTCTAAAAAGTTTGTTTTTTCAATTAGTGCGATGTTTATCAGGGAATGCAATTTATAAAAATAAAAGATTTATATTCTTATATGTTTAAATGATCATACACGCTAAAAAAAAATTCAGAGAATTCATATTTTATAGAATTGATGCTTTGTCGCTCAGTCCGATCCCCCATTTCCCTGTAACTCTAGTATAAGTTGATTTAAAGTGTCCCATTTGTTGACAATAAAGTACAAATCTTTTGATTTGTGTCGAGTCTGCGATATTAATGTAGCGGCAGTGAGGCACAACAAACCTATATTCCGTTGTCGGTAGTGGCGTCGGCGTCTTCATCATTAAGGTTGTTAGATTTCACGCTTGAATTGTTTTTACATTTTATATTTCGGGACCTTTTATAGCTTACTATATGGTATGGATGTTGCTCATTGTTGAATACCATTCAGTCACATATAGCTGTTATCTTCTACGTCATGTGGTATATATGTGGCTGAGAGTTGTCTCATTGGCAACCATACCACTTTTTCTTATTCATATATACGTTTTTTTTGGCATTAAATATTACCATATTAAACTGTTTTGGTATGATAAATTTGTAAACCTCAATGGATTGTTATAAAACATGTTTAGAAGTTATTCTTCAAGATCAAGATAAAGCATCTACAGAAATGTTTTTTTTTTAATTTTTACCGATAAATGTACAGTTAACATTACGCTTTCACAAATCAGCAATATCAGGCAAGACATGAATTCCGTGGAATCTTTTACAAATGTATTATGTAATACTGCTTCCATTTGAGAACTAAGGGGGAAAAAACCGACAGGACCAAGTGGCTTGTGTATAAAATCCTGTATGTCCGAAAGACTGTAAATTTTTAAGTACTTTTTTCTTATTTTTGTCTGCCGTTCCCCTTTTTCACACCAAATAACTGTGAACAACAACTCTAACTTTAATTTGAACTTTAACTCAATGGATAGCGAAACTCATCCAAAGCACATTAAATAAACGACATATGGAAACCGGTTTAAAAATAGAACATATTTTTTCCCGAAATGGTTACGTGGTTTTACCTCATCACGTAATGTGGATTACAAAACAAAACACACAACCATAACGATAACAAAAGGAAAATTATGAAAAAAAAAGATAGACTTTCTATGACACATTCAGAGTAGACACATCGGCCAGTAACAGTTCACGATATAAATGTGGATCCACGAAGTAAGATGTATAAGGTTATCAACAAATCAGTCCCATGTAGGCCTATAGCTGTTAATTTACCAAGCTCGGGCTATGCTAGGTAAAACGTTGAATTGGATTCAACATATCGCATGACTTCCTTGTCATCTAGATAAACAAAATTGGTAAAACGAAGAAAATGATCCAACTTTTAATTACATTTTACGTAGACATTTTAGGCGCCGGAAATTGACAACGTTGATTTATATACTGATACAACTACGATTGAGGTCGATTCTGGAAATTATGCATCAAAATGTCACTAGCAGTTAACACTTTTTAATGTCTTAAAATATATTTGTTATGTTTAAATTATCCTAGAGGCGAATTATTTTCGAGAGATGTATAGCTATCGTGTACTTCAGAAACAAGGTTGAGGGAGGACCACGCCCCCGTAGTGGGGACACGAAATAAAGTTGACCGTTCTGCATTTCTACTCGATAGAAGTGCCTATTTTTTTTCAAAACATACACGTTATGTACCAAAGATTATTATATGCAAGTATAAAAAAAATCGAGGCGAAGATTTTTTTTAGAAACAGCTAATAATTAAAGAAGACCAATAGATGTAATAGAAAAATTGACGAAAATGGCGCCTTCTACAATATCGAAAAGAAATCTATAATTTTACAATTTATTGACACATATTGTTATTTCTAAAGGGGTTAAATATCTAAGGATTCACCTTTTCATGACATTTGCATGAATATTTACTTTAAAAACAGAAACTCTTCCAATTTCTATATCTTCCGCCCATTCAAAGAAAAATCTATAAAAAATTGAGACCCCCACTTTAAAATGGGAATAAATTTTTACCCTGGTTTGAACACCCCTGTTCTCTACTAATTTCGATGCCAAATACTTGCGAGAATAGGATGTAAAAATTTTAAGAAAATCGAAGGATATGTATTTTTTTGTACCCAGTTTAGATATTGCCATTTCATTCTCCAGTGCAAAATTCAAAATCCGAAATTCTACGTTCAGATAAGGCACTAAGGTCCGTATGCATGCGATCTTTTATTTTAAGTTGGACACGGGTTGTTTATGTGCTCAGCATGTTCAGTAATTAAAATTTCAAGAATGTCAAAATTGAAAAGTGAAACAAGGTAGACTTGTTAAGAAGAACCATTTCCTCGACTTATTCGGTGAACACTATTCATACTTAAACAGACCTTAAAAACGTCATTATGCTATTGTACCTGCTTGTCTGTCTTTTTAAATTGATGATTATATATCTATTGAGTCACATGCATATCAGCTATCTTTGGATGGCATCTTGATTGTCAATAAGATGGATGGCGTCAAGTCATAAAATATGTACGCAATACTGATACGATTTCATTCCTTGTTTATTGTTTACGATAAAACTTTTGTAATTAAGGAAATATTTCAATATGCTTTGAACCAAAGTGAAAAAATTAATACGATGGTTAATAATATGGCAGCTAATGTCCTATTTAGAACTTATCTCTTTAATATGTGATGCTTGAAATAGCAATCATATTATTTTCAATGTTTGGAGGGAAAATGAAAGATGTGAAGTCCTATGTTATATAGGTCCATAGAGGGTACCTTATATGAATTAATTTGGAACATGCAGGGGTCACTCGAATGAAGACAATAAGTAAATCCGACCAGGGGTTTAAAGGAAAACGAATAGCATTCTTCTTATTGGCCGATTTTTTTTTAATAGCCCAATTAAAACAATGGAAGGACACTGCACTGTGTACAATTTTAATGTTAAGATTGACCTTATACAAGCTGACTATCCTGTCTGGAGGAAAACCTGTAGGACCGAATCGCACTCTCTAGTAATGACAGCCTATTCTGCCTTAAGGAAAGACAAATGAGTTATACTACTATATGTGTATAAGATCTATGTTCAATTAAATCTTGCAAAGAGTCCTTGTCATTTTGTTATCATAAATTGGTGTTATAAACATTACGATGCCATAGTGTAAATGAGAAGCTTTAATCAAAGGACAAAATGAAAACAATCTAGTTACACGATGCTTAAATGGACTATAGCGGCTTGGATTCCAAATGTCTATTGTTCACTCTTTGATTGATTCATGTTATTTATTCTTTTTTAGGCTGACATCAACGTTGATATAAATTATTGAATATTGTAGAAATTTAAAGTTGATTTATAAAACTACTGTAGTGTGCAAGCTAAAAAGCACAAAGTAAATAGCTTTTTAGTTATCTTATTTGAATCTTAACAAACTATAATAAGTATGTCGATAGTTGATTACCAGATAGTTTATTTAGGTAGACAAGTATTTACCCTTAGTGAAATTACAATGCTAATAAGACGTAGTTTTGTATAGTCTACACCTGAAGATCAGATTAAGTACAAGTGTGATCAGTAACAATGAGGAAACGTAAACTACACCAATTGTCAATTCTTCCTTACTGATAAAAAAAAATTATTCGTAGTCGTACATTTTATCTATTAACAAGTTTTCAAGTCATATGTAATAGAGGTTCATAGAGGGTAGCTTGTATAAATTAATTTTGAACGTACACGGATCACCCTTATGAAGACAATAAGTAAATCCTACCATGGGTTTGAAGGAAAATACAGAACATTATTCTAATTGGCCGATTTTCTTAAACGAAAAAAACTAACAAAGGGTACTGTAAATTCCGAAATTATTGCGTGCATTTATTAATGCGATTTTGTCATTTTAGACTAAAATGCGATATTAATTTTTGCGATATTGAGAAAAGTCCTGTTTAACTCATATAAAAAATTTCAAAATGCGAGTTTAAATTATTGCCATTATAACCCTGTCGCATTTTTCGCAATAATAAAAACATCGCAATAATTTCTGAATTTACAGTACATTGACATCTAATAAATATAGTAAATTCTAATAAAGCAAACACAATGAGGGGACACTGTTCGGCGTACAATTTTAACGGTGATTTGACCGGATACAAGCTGTCTGGACTTAAAAGACTCTCCTGTCTGGAGAAAAGCCTATCGGACCGAAAAGCATTCTCTGATAATGACAGTCCGTTCTGTCTTATGGAAAGACGAATGAATTTTGATACTTGTATATTTGTACATATATGATCAAACTCTTCAATAAAATAAAAGATCTCCTTGTAATTGTTTTGTTTTTATCATAAATACAGGTTGTAAACATTACAATACCATACTTTTATTGAATAGCTTGATATAATTGATTTACTTGATTTAGTCTTTTGTTAGCTTACATTGATATTTTTAAAAATGATTGAATTGTGTAGAAATTTGAGGTTTATTTGTGAAATGGGTGTATAATGTTAGTTAAACAGTACAAAGTAAATAGCTTAATAGTTTTCTTATTTGATCCTTAACAAACTGCAATAAGTATATCAGATATTAGTTATCAGAGAGCTGATGTTAGTAGAGAAATTTACTTTACTTTTTTTAAAGTTTAACGTTTGATTTTGTTTTTATGGACTTTCCACTTTTTTGAATTTACCTTGGAATTCGTTTCTTTTTTTATACTTTTATACACGCTTAGTGAAACTACAATGCAAATGAGACGTCGTTTTGTACAGTCTACACCTACAGATCAGATTGAGTACAAGTTTTCAGTAGCAATGATGAAACTAAAACTTAAACTAAAAACATTTGCTTTGATAAAAAATATCAACATATTAGTGATCTTATATTTCATATAAACCAGATTATTACCATTCATCCAATTTTATAAGATAAAGAAGACAAAAAGAATAAATAATCAAATTATAATCATCTTTAAAATTTTCATTCCTTATTATTTATCCATTCAAACTGATAATGTAAATAGTATTTGTCAAAATCTTTCGGAATTATGGGTCCTCAATTCTCTCGAACTCCGTACTTTGAGAGAGGGTCTTCAGAAATACTGTGAAACTGTTTACTCGCGTAGTGGTATTCTACAAAAACTCTAAAGAACTTCTGGATGATTTAAAATTTCGATCTTTCTCTGAAATTTATTCTATCAAAACTTTTGATTTTTCATCCCTGAATACCACCATTCCCCATGTCAAGTTGAAAAATCGTCTAAAAGAAATAATCTACAATGCTTTTCAATATAAAAATGGTAGCATACGCAATAAATGTATTACTTTGGAAAACCATACGGTAATACTGTTAATAGTGAAAAAACAGGTAAAACATGCTACACAGAGGAACACGTGATCAGTATGCTGGAGTTTCTTATTGACAACATATTTGTTGAATTTGGACAATTTGGAAATTTTTCAACAAATTGTCGGCATTCCTATGGGAAAGAACTGTGCTCTTCTCCTTGTCGACCTTTTTTTTATTTTCATATGAATCGGAGTTCCTTCAGACACTTGTCAAATACAAGAGGATCAATATTTATTTCACATTCAGATATATTGATGATGTTCTTTCAATTTACAATCCAAACTTTTCTGATTGGGTTCCACTAATATATCCTCCAGAACTAGAAATAAAAGAAATAACAGACACAGCTTTCTCCGCCTCATTTTTAGACTTATACCTCAAATTTGACACGGTCATCTCAGTCCCAGAATCTATGACAAACGAGACGATTTAAATTTTGAAATTATCAATTTCCCCCACTTAGTAGCAATATACCAACTTCACCTGCATATGGGATATACATTTCCCAACTCATTCCGTATTCAAGAGCTTGCAGCTGCTACTAAGACTTTATAAAACGTCATCAGTGTCTGAGCAAAAAGTTGATGTACCAGGGTTATGTCAAAGAACATCTCGTCCTTTTTCTAAAAAAGTTCATCGGAAGATGCCAAGACCAGTTTGATAAATATTCCGCATCAACTTCACAAATAATACACGATGGTCTAGAAGTATCAATTCTAGGTACTGACGTTTAAATTACTTAATTACGTGTTATAGTGTTCTTTTATTTGTCTTTGTAAATTATTTACTTTACTGTTTAGTCCATTTTTGGTTATATCCTCTTGGCGTGGTTCGGTACTTGTACATCGCGCCATTGTGTTCTTGTGCTATCGTTATTTTTTGTATTTTTGTCTTTTATTTCTGCGAATGTGCTTTGCCTATATGCCATTTTGTTTTTCTTTGACATATTTGTTTGTTTTATAGTGATTAAAATTAAAACACAATGTTGACTGCTGTACCCCTATTTTTTGACATTTTTACCTATTATGTCTGTTTGTTTTGTTCACACATTGTTGTCAATATAATGGAAGTTTATGCGACTGTCATACAAGTGAGAGGTTTAGCTAGCTATAAAACCAGGTTTAATACACCATTTTCTACATAAGGAAATGCCTGTACCAAGTCATGAATATGACAGTTGTTTTCCATTCGTTTGATGTGTTTTAGCTTTTAATTTTGCCATTTGATAAAGGACTTCCTGTTTTGAATTTTCCTTGGAGTTTGGTATTTTTGTAATTTTACTTTTGACCTTTTAAACTTTTGTGTAGCTTTACAGATTATATTGAATGTGGTCATATATGACTTCTCACTAAAACGAACTAAATAAATCCGTAGGACTTCATGTTTAGTTTGTAAATGGAAAGGCCGTGTTTCCATATCGAATTACTCCGTGAAAATAGCTTTGATTATAAAAAAGTTCAATATTAGAAAGTTATGGCAAGATAAAAAATTTCACATTCATAAATATATTGTCGATGTTGGAATTAATACTCGTGATGTCATTCAACGATTTAATACATGGATACACTCATTTGTCCCAATGAAGCACATCGGTGAAACAAGGCTTAACATATAACATAGGAAATTTCCACATTTACTTCGCGATATTTGTCTATAAATACTTACATGGTATATGGTGAGGACAAAAACAAGAACCCCAAGCATGATTATATCGACCTACAAAATCACAAAAAATGCAGACGTGTTTAGAACGTAAATGAGACAGCAACCACGATCCTAAAACAAAACAAAACACACATAAACACACAGACTCACACACGATAAAAAAACCAGTTAATACACGGATTTCTATTTTATCATTTTTTTTCATGATCAAATATTAAAATACGAAAAAAAATTCAAAACTGGTGTTTTGTACCAAACTTAATGAGTTACTATTTACACTATATCAAAAAAAGTTAGACGTTGAGATATGTAGCTTTTAAAACTGAACTCCATTTGAAATTAAATACATGATTAGTTAATGAATTATTATATCGACAAACACAATATTTGTCTACTTTAAAAAAATACAAACACCTACCTCTTATTGAATATAATGCAGATGCATTTGAATTATTTCCTGCATTTCGCCTACATGTAAAACAGATAACATACATGGGTGGATTTGTGTGTACTGTCGAGGAACTATTTGATGAAATTTCCCTTACATATCATTAGTGTTGTTTTGGTTAAGCTGTTTTAATATCTTATTTGACGGTTATTAAGTGACAAAGCTTTTGATAAAACCATTTTGAAGTTGAGCATTACAAATTTTGTTTCCTTCTGTTTTCTGAAAGAAAATTATGACATCTATAACCAAAATGTAACTTATATGGAAATAGATGTTATCCCATGATTTTCCTGATCGAAGCTTGCTACTAACAAGGAAGCTATTGTATTAAAGGTTCTAGATTATTAAGTTGAAGTCCCACCTTTGAAAGTTTTACGGACGCCATCGCGAGTTGGCTAAACCTTTTGGGTATCTGTGTCACAGATAACCACGAATAGGTTTCAATTGTCGTAACCAGAATCACGTCCTCTTTTGCCCGATTGTGACATCACCGAATACTGGGGATATGCTCACCCCATTGGAGCACCTTAGATCACCCAAAGTGTTGGTGAAGCTTTTGTTGCTCAGTCTATAGTTTTATATGTTATGAATTTGATTTTCTTTTCGTTGTTTTGCAATCTAAGGGTGTGTCAGTTTATCTAACCGTTTTGAATAATATCCTCTTTGTGTCGTCTGTCTTTTATTCTTACAAAATAAATGGAGAAATTATTATACAATCTTGTCTACATTATTTACAAATAAATACATATTTTTTTGTTACGGCTTTTTTATTTTGTAATTTATTCAATGTTTACATCCTATGACATATTAATTTTGTGAGTCGAAGGTACTCCTACTCCGATTCTTCAATTTCACATTGTTCATTTATGTATTTTTTTCAGTGAACAAGGAAAGACGATGATTTTCATTTCTTTGAATGAAAAAAAGTATTTATAATCTCCTCTTAATTCTAATTTTCTTTGTACAACCCTTATAAACAAAATCACTCTTTATTATATTTTCGTTTTAACATAGTATCAACTTTTTTTCAAATTACAAACCATCGTTCTAGTTTAGATAGCACTCCTCCGCCATTGCCATTGCCATAAGTCAAAATTGATCAAACATATGTAGATATGTCTATTATGTTTACATCCTACGATATACTTAACACATGTGATTAACCCCAATGACCGCTCATTGATATAGACTCTGATGATAAAACTTTCCTCGCTAGTTTATTCATTGTACTACATTAAAGCTAAAAGAGAATATACATGTAGAGGGTGGTCAAATTACAGTTAGCGTATACTATTAACTAAGGAAGTAGGATTATACATGTACTATCGATGTGGCAGAGTTCCAAAATATTGAGAAATGATGAGGAAGCACTTGCCGATAACTTCTAATTTTCAAATAACATGTGTTCAGTATGAAACTCCCACTTCCGCTGTCAATATTGGATTTCATTTTCTGCAACATCTTCAATTTGAAATCTATAGTTATACTTGAATGAAACGACTTGAATCATGTTCACGGAATATGGGGGAATATGTTATTAATTCAGAAGAAAACAAATATAACACTTAAAATCCCTTTTCTTACCTTAAGAACAGTGCGTTATTTTGCACACACAATACAAATATTAATTTAAATCATCCGGCGTCCCTATTCGGAAATATATTTACTTGTTCAGTGTATATTTACTTGTTTTTGTGTGTTGTCTTTTTGATCAAGTTAATCCATTTCGATTGATATTTTATTGTTTGTCTTTTTATGTTGTAATGTTATACCACTGTTTCAGGTAGGGTGAATGTTGGCGCCTGTTAAAACGTTTAAACCCGCTGCATTTTTATGCACCTGTCCTAAGTCAGGAGCCTGTTGTTCAGTGGTTGTCGTTTGTTGGTGTGGTTTATAAGGGTTCTCGTTTATCGTTTTTTTATATTGATTAGACCGTTGGTTTTCCTGTTTGAATTGTTTTACACTAGTCTTTTTGGGGCCCTTTATAGCTTGCATGTTTAGTGTGAGCCAAGGCCGGTGTTGAAGGCCGTACTTTGACCTATAATTGTTTACTTCTTACACATTGTGACTTGGATGGATAGTAGTCACATTTGCACTCATACCACATCTTCTTATTTATAGTATAGCAAATCAATCAATTGATAATATTGACACTATAGATAACAAGCCAAAAAGTCAATAAATTGACTTAACTTGTTGTTCTGTTTACAATTCTTTAAAAGAGAGGCGAAAGATACCAAAGGGACATTCAAACTCATTAGTCGAAAATAAACTGATAACACCATGGCAAAAAAAAAAGAGGGAATAGACCAAAAAACAAACAACAAAACACAAATCACAACATAGAAAACTAAAGACTGAGCAACCCGAACCCCATCAAAAACCGGATTTGAAATATGATTTATATTTACCCCAAATGTGACCTACCGAACTAGACTTATTACCGGGTTTGTACTAACATGAGCAACACAACGGGTGCCACATGTGGAGCAGGATCTACTTACCCTTCCGGAGCACCTGATATCACCCCCAGTTTTTTGGAGGGATTCTTTAGTTTTCTATGTTGTGTTTGGAGTACTTTTGTTTGTTTGTTGGTCTTTTTTTTCTTTTTTAGCCATGGCGTTGTCAGTTTATTTTTGACTTAAGAGTTTGAATGTCCCCTTGGTATCTTTTGCTTTTCTTTTATTTATCCAAAGAATGGATTCTGGTCAAATGTTTATATATGTATTGCAATAAAAAGTACCGTACGATGTATATTAAATGAAAAGCTGTTACGATCATGCATACACCTTTTATTCTAAATTATGGAATGTAGAATTTAGAGATAACTGTATTGTATTTGAAGCTTTGCGGACGTCCATCGGTAGTTTTACTGTCGCAAATTTAGTTTACCTGGAGACGCGTAGCGGAGAAATGATGTTATCTTCTTTGGCGCCTAAACTAGGTGACGTCATAAGTATGATTCCGGAAGCAATAAAAAGTACCGTACGATGTATATTAAATGAAAAGCTGTTACGATCATGCATACACCTTTTATTCTAAATTATGGAATGTAGAATTTAGAGATAACTGTATTGTATTTGAAGCTTTGCGGACGTCCATCGGTAGTTTTACTGTCGCAAATTTAGTTTACCTGGAGACGCGTAGCGGAGAAATGATGTTATCTTCTTTGGCGCCTAAACTAGGTGACGTCATAAGTATGATTCCGGAATCAAACGTAAAATACCGGGCGTTTTCTGGCTTCTTGTCCGCTTCAGAATGTAATAAAATTTGATAAAAAGAAGATTTCTAGATTAAAAATGTGATTTTTTTTTTTGCTTATTATTGGAGAAATTACATGTCAATACATTCCGGAATTCAAAATGTCGGCTTCCTTAGTTACAGACATGGAGATAGAGAATTTTACGCTTATTGTCATCCAATCAGAACCATTGATACAAAATAATTGCATTAGAATACATATTTACTATAGGCTTCTAATTGGCATACTAAATTAAGTATGGGATGTAGAATACATATTTACTATAGGCATATAATTGACATACTAAATTAAGTATGGGATGTAGAATACATATTAACTATAGGCATCTAATTGGCATACTAAATTATCACCTTCAAAACAGAAATATTATTTTAATTATAGTCTATTGGTACCGGCTTTGATATTGAAAACAACAGCTCTAGTTCCCGTATACGTATAATAATTCGAAAAATTGATATGATCCTCATGGCCATGTTACTACAGAACATATTAACATTACCTAATACCGAGATATTATGATTGTTTTTGAAAGATTCAGCGTTATAATCCATTTTCAATCAGTTATCTTGAAAGAATGTCATTACGTTATCAGGTAATCTAATACGCTTACTTCATATCATGGTGTAAAAGAGAGAAGGCAATGTTGTCGTAGTTTGACGTACGTACTATTTATAAATACTCACAATTAAAAACAAACTATTCTTATATGTCCATACCTACAGTTATACTGTAAATATGATCATTGAACAATGTGTATAATGAAAGGATCTGTTGAACACCACAATGTTTCTACTATGTATAAGGTTCTTCAATAACAAAACTGTCATGATTTGTTTCTTCTTATATATGATTTATAAATATCAAGGAACTAAAGGAGGCATCAAACCAAATAGAATATTTATGAAAACTTTTGCTCACACGTTTCTGCACCACTGAAGTATTAACATTGCTTTCATTAAGTGGGCTTTGAATACATTATATTCAGTGACAATATTATGACCAGGACAAATCTTTTTTCGTTTATTTATAATCAAACAAACTATTATTTTTTTCTAGCCGAAGCTAACCATTATAATTTGTCCTAAATAGCCATTGATGAAAGTATAATTCAAAACAATTAATGGCTTACAAGGTATGACTACTGTAACAGTTGCAAAATCTATATGGAATACAATTTGAAACAGAATTTTGTTTTACTAACTCTCGGTTTCTGCCAAGTCATATACAATCTACCATAAACATGATGTTTCACTGGCTCAAACTTTCTTTTGGTTCAAATATGTTATCATCCAATTACAAGTTTTTATCTTTTACATTGATTACGTGATGAAACAACCAGACAGCAAACACATGTTACTAATGCTCAAATAAATTACAATTAATTCACATAAAAAAGGTGAATATCCAAAATCATCGACCGTAAAAGGGTATTCCCCGAAAGAGCAGCCCGATGTGAAATACATTCTTAATTTTGATTGTATAATAATAGACAAGCCTTTTATCATAAAACATACTTGTTAAAGAGGCATATGACTTACTGTAAAATATTAAAAGGATTTTGTTGTATTTTTGAAGGCTATCATGGGCAGTAGAAGAATTTCCAGTCGTTGTTTCTTCGTCACATGATGGACTTCTAACCTGGCTGTCACTATTTTTTTTTTAATACGTTACTTACGTCATTTTGATAGGAGACAATGTATTAATCGAGAGGCTCGAAAGGGTTTTTACTGATGAGTAAAAGGAAATAAACAATATTGTTTATATTACGCGAAAATAAATTAGCGAATATGACTGTTTATCATATATGTTTTGTATTATGCAACATAATTATGCATTTGCTCGAATAATCTTTTACTGGCCATTTTTGTCTATTAGGTATTTGTGTCGTTGGGTTGTTGCCTCATTGATATAAGTCTCGTAATAACTTTTATTCATATCCAAAGTTAACACGAAACAGTGTAATGGCAAGTCCTGCAATACGATCACGATTAAGGTTCAACCTAGTGTGAAAAACCTTCTTTTATCAAAGTCCTGCAAATGTAGCCATACTTAGATAATGAATCCTTCAAATCAAAATAGTAATCGTTAATAATTGGACCAATCGATGATATCCATATCCATGTACAAAGGTTTGTAATACAAATATAACGGTTATCGAAGAAATTTAAACCTTACTTCAACACATGAATAAAAATCCAACTGAAAAATGCTCGTTCGATAAAATTCAAAAGATTATCCCTAGCAAGGCGAGGAATTTGATCAATGATAAAGGATAGATCGAGCTATTTGTCATAGGTTTGAGAAAGAAGCTAAAAATAATTCTAACTTAAATAAAACTAGATGTGTCGGAACGACACGAATGGCCCCGTCTCAAAAAGTTGAAAAATTTGCACTTTCAACAACACATGTGGACACAAACATGCATGGATAGTATCCAGCTCTCAAGACCAATACTATTTTGATGAAAAATTTCCTTGATTAATGGGTAGTGAAATTTCCAACTATCTATCAAAGTCCAAAGTCCGTAATTTTGGCAAAAATAAGTAAAACGGAACGAAACTTAAACTTGATCTGTAACTCGTCATGGTTAACTCACATACCAAAAAATCAGCCCAATATCTGAAGGCGTTTAGAAAAAAAGTCCGTATAACTGATTTTCAACAATTTATCAAAGTCCAAAGCCCGAAATTTCGGCAGAAATTAGCAGAGCGGAACGAAACTTAAACTTGATCTCTAACTCATCATGGTAAACTCACATACCAAAAATCAGCCCTATATATGAAGGCGTTTAGAAAAATAGTCCGTATAACTGTGATTTTCAACAATTTATCAAAGTCCAAAGCCCGTAATTTCGGCAAAAATTAGCAGAGCGGAACGAAACTTAAACTTGATCTGTAACTCATCATGATTAACTCGCATACCAGAAATCAGCCCTATATCTGAAGGCATTAAGAAGAAAATTGCATATAATGGTTTGTTGCGGAGTGACGGAATGACAGAATGACGGAATGACGGAATGACAGAATGACAAAATGACGAAATGACGGAATGACGGAAAGGGTAAAACTATATGGCCCCGACAACTTTGTTGCGGAGCCATAAAAAAGATATACATAACTTCAAACCTTCGTTTTGTTGAGAGTACGTTTAGATGTTGAGATTTTTTTTCTTATGAAATGTATGTGCTCTTTAACAAAATATATTATAGACATGTACGGTTGTTGTATAGTGCCTAACTGATTATAATTATCAAGCAGAAAGTGTAAAAGAAAGCAGATAACAAGGGATAATCAAAGGTATTACGTCGAATATTAACAAACATAAATTACTAAAGGAACAATCACAGTTCACAAAATTAAACACAGAAACATGAATCTCATAACATAAGATCAACTCGTATGATCCGGACAAGATAAATTACATGATCAAGTAGTGGCACCCGTATTATTAATTATGCTAACTGAAAAGCTATTGGGTACACGTGAAGAGGAAAAGCTGATGTTTAATCAAGCCTATGGTCATCCGAAACGCACATATTTCATATTTTGCAGGCGTCCATAAATATAACGAAGAGGTGATTTGAACCTTATCATGTATTGTTCCTCTCGTAATAAAACATTGTAGATTCCAATAAAGCTACTGACACAAGCGTATCAACTGAGATGTTGTTGTCATAAAGAGATCCAAAGGGTGCCAAAGTAATATTCAAACTTATAACAAAATAACAATGCCATGGCAAAAAAAAAATAACAATAAAAACGACAAAAAGACAAACAGTCATGCACATATGTTGTTATAGATAAAAACAAAGTTTTACAGGGAATATTACTTCCATTTATTTTGTCGTTATATGTGTTACTCCATCAATCGTTATAATCGATTTTAATATAAACAGGAAACTAACCTCTCTGAAAAAAGAAATGACATTTGTCATAGCGTGAACGTTCCAGCAGCACCTGCTGTTGGCGTATATAAAAACTCTTGAAAAGGACTTGCACAGTATTCTTTAAGTAAAAAGATATGGGTCTCAAGTTCAACACAGCGACAAAATCCCGCACTCGGAGGCGGATTTCAGGTGGCCCCTTCACAAAAATATGTACTATTTCAGCGAAAATGGACGTCACACTAAACTCCGAAACATATAAATGAACAAAAATCAAAGAAACATACAAGACTAACAAAAATCAGAAGTAGGCTCCAGCGGCTCTTTTCACAAAAAATCTTAAAGAGTAAAATTACTCGTAAGTCATACACATTTCAGTATAACTTACGATCAATTTTAGTCGTAAGATTTTTTGTGAAAAGAGTCGCTGACTTGGGACAGGCGCAAACTGCGGCGGGGTTAATACTAATAAGAAGATGGAGTACCAATGAGACAACTCTCCATCCAAGTCACGATGTGTAAAAAGTAAACAATTAAAGGTCAAAGTACGGTCTTCAACACCGAGCCTTGGCTCACACCGTACACACGATAAATTATCAATTGAAATGGCTTAACTCAATCAAAAGAAATAATAACAAAAACAAGTAAACATACACTGAACGAATAAATTTGATCTATGACACAATGTAAATTGATCTAAATTCAATATTGATGAAAAAGTGGGAAAGATGTATAACAATATCAGAAAGACAACTAAACATGTTTTGTGGGCTCTCAACCTCCCTCCCTAGTACCTATAGCTATTTTCCTGAAACCTTATTTTTTGCGACGATATATCAAATTATCTAAGATATGGCGAACCGATCTAGGGGTTATTAAAAGAACTCCGAGTCATGACACCTATTTATTGTGGAGGTCGGCATATGATACATGTGCACACGACAGAATACATGCCATTGGATGGTGAAGCAAAAACTTGCAACAAGATATGTAGGTCACTGGCGTTATATGCATAAATATTCTCCAACAATTAATATGCTCACATATTGCATAATATAGCAACGTGACAACTTGTTCAAAGTTAGAGTACGTAGCAAAAACTTGAGGACATGGGGAAACGGCTTGTGTTTGTGTTAAAAGGGCGTAATTGTCGGTGATTCAAAGGTAACTTTCGTGTAGGACAATTTGGGCACATGATAAAATAATTTAAACAGTACGCAATGCATATATCAATGCTGTACTAACCATGTATCGATGTTAGTCTTAAACCTTTTCGCACTCTGAGCTTTATTTTATAGCGTGATGCTGAGTGTTAGACTTTAGGTTCTTATATAATGATATCATTTTTTTTTTAATTAAAACACAACTGTCTGTTATTTTGTATACGCAAAGATACAAACATTTCATTAGACGTTAATTTGCATACAGCCACTTTTCTACAGAAGCGGAGTATGCAAATTATATATAAAAGTATTGTTTTCAAATAGTAAATGGAACACAGTAGACAAAATATGACAAATGATATTATTTTCAGTCATTGTAAATGTGTATTTACATATATATAATTACATTATGAAAATTGAAATAATAGTTTTTCATATGTATCTTACTCTTCGCTTGCAAGTGTCCACAAAAAAATTAACGGCACTGTCAAATATGATAAATATGAACACTTCGGTGGATAACGCGACCATTATACTGTCTCTTGTAGTTGTTACACTCTGAATTGTATTTTTATCAAGGTCATTGCATTGGTTTAATGTTCATTATCTATATCAGATTTGAATCCCATAATTTACAACGTATCTCAAACCCGACATGTCAATACAGATTAAAAACACGCGTCGGGTGTACTTAGATCCAGCTGTATCAAATAGTCAAACGTGACCTTAAGTCATTTCCTATTGAAACGCATCTGGTCCCTCATATAAACTGGCGTCGGCAGGTTAGTTGTCTTTTTCGACATCATTATTTTTATATGTTAAAAACGCCACTGTCAACACTCTTTGGACCGCAATGTTTCATATCTGTTTCTGATTGTCCACTCATACTATTTGAATTGTTTCTATGAATACCTTTGATTTCAAAATTAAAGTTTTCCAGATTACTGGGTATTGTCTCATTAGTGTCACTTCTACTGTTAAGAGCTGGAATGATAAAAATATAAAAAAAATCTTATTATTTCAAAACTATAATAATGACATGCTATATTCGACAGTGTAGCTATTTTTAATTATTTCAGATGAAAAGTAAAAACGATTTTTCAACAGTACATTATTATCAGTTTGGTCCAGAAGGTCAAACTAACATTTATACGGTACCTTCTTACTTCAATAAATACATGCATACCTCTCCATTGTTTATTAATCCTTAAGTATATACACACATGTATTTTGTATCATCCTATTGCCGCAGTTGTATATCCATTACCTACATTTGTAACAATTGATTTAAAACACGTATGTTTTGGATCATATTTTGTTTTACATGTTATGTTTCGTTGACTGGTGTCTGTCTTTTTGTCTTTATTGTCAAAGGTGTGAAAACTTCATTACCGTTTGAATTGATTGGTGCTAACTTTTCTTATTTTTGTGTTCCTCGAAAAATTTTCGGAAGCATACATTTACTACCCTCTATATAACATCAATCAACATTTTAGCTAAAACATGTAATGTAACAATATTTTAAATTTTAAAGATAAAAATAGACCATTACAATATGAGCTCACACTGGAAGCTAGCATACTTACTTAATACTTACTTGAAACATTCATAGACATGTATTCGCCAGATTGTGAACTAGTCGAAGGCACTGCATCTACAAAAAAAACCGAAAATATATTTTTTGCATTTTGTATTAATTTCGCGTCCCAATTATTTTGATTTATGCTTCACAGCCGTGTCTTTTATAGATGAAGCACTCATCGTTCATACCAAATTGTGTTCAATATATTTTTAGTGAATTCCAACAAATCCAGAAGGATTTATTGACAGAGTAAGTCTTCTGCTATGCTTAATTCTTCCGCCTTGACAATCCCCCGTCAGCCAAATTGCCACAATGGGTTAGCACACAATCAGTTAATTTTAATGATAATGCTTAGCATATATTCTGTTACTACCTGATAACAATTATGGCTGGTACTACTAGTAATCAAATAAAACAAGGAAATTCAAACGATAGTTTTTGGCTTAATTCACAAAAACTAAAGCAGTTAGAGCAAGACATGAATGTTATAGTCAAAAGGTATTGATCTATCGTATAATCGTAAAACAACTGGACAACATTAAATGTCAGCCTTAAGCAAATTTCGCAGTTATTTTACTTCAATTTATTTTTTAGATTAAAAGTTACAAAAATGTTAAAATAACTTTAAAAGACGATTTTAACCCTTTTTAGCTCACCTGGCCCAATGGGCCAAGTCAGCTTTTCTCGTCACTTGGCGTCCGTCGTCCGTCGTCGTCGTCCGTTAACTTTTACAAAAATCTTCTCCCCTGAAACTACAGTTTTTGACTTATATCTCTGAAACTAAAGCATTTCGACCATATCTGACATGGCGTAGAAATGTTCACCAGGTTTAGATCTATCTGCCTTGAAATTTTCAGACGAATCAGACAATCCGTTGTTGGGTTGCTGACCCAGAATTGGTAATTTTAAGGAAATTTTGCCCTTTCTTGTTTATATCTTAAATATCATTATAGATAGAGATAAACCTTAAACAGCAATAATGTTCAGCAAAGTACAATCTACAAATAAGTTAATATGACCAAAGAAGTCTATTTCTAACAATTTGTCGTAAATTTTTGTAATATTTTACAAAAATCTTCTCCACTTAATCTACTAGGCCAAAAGAATTATACTTAGTAACAAATCTCAATAGGATATCTTGATTGTAAATATATTAGATGACCCTGCCATCCAACCAACATGACCGCCATGGCTAAAAATAGAACATAGGGGTTTACTATAGAAGTCTAAAGGAAAGTTGTAAAAAAACATTTCAAATGGTCACAAATTAAAAACTAATTTAAATAATGATAAAGGGTCTTCAGTAACCATTGTAAGACTACAATGGGATGTCCTGCTTTTGATTTAACTACAGGGCCAAATTAAACCAAACTTCATTATTAATGTATCTAATACTATTTATTATGATGTTAACCTTATTCAACATGATTTCCGAAACCACAGTAGATACAGGTGAGCAACACAGGCTCTTAAGAGACTCTAGTTTATGTTGCGAGCCAAGCCTACAGGGCAAATTGAGTTTTTTTTTATCTCTTATCGTCCGTCTCTGTCGTCTGTAAACTTTTGCAAAGGGTTGTCCTTTGAAATTACTGGGCAAATTGCAACCAAAACATATCATTCATTTGATATATAGATAAAGAACATTTGAAGGGTCATAATTACACTATAATATAAAATAAGGAACACGTCAGAATAATAATTTGATTCTGCGCTTTTGCTTGAAATATAGTTTTAATTTTATTGTATCAATTTTTTTTATTGTATCAATTTTACGCAAAAATACCAGTTGAATCATAATACAGCTTTTTATGGGCCTCATGTTTTTACTTTTTTTTTTAGTCTTAATCTTTAAACTTCAATAAATGGATAGAAAGTAATGTAGCAAATAAAAGTAATTTCTGTTGAGAACTATGATGAATAGATGGACAATTTAATAGCAAAAATTACCAACAAGACTAATTAATCAACATAGCTGAAATTGTCTTTTAACTCCATATAGGCGTTTTGCCCTTAAATGACTACTAAGGGGACACGGATTTAAATAACAGCACAGCTCTTGTTTCCTTATCCCAATTATTGAATTACTGGTATATTTCTTATTATTTTACTCTTGTAGCTATACATAGCAAATTCTTTATTGATATATATGTTTATACTCAATGACGATTGTTACCCAAAATCGTCATTGAAGGGTAATAACTCTAATAAGGGGTCGTCAGACGAATTCAACCATGTTGATTTATTTGTAATCTTGTCTTTCTGATATTTTTTTTGTGATTTAAAGTTTCTTACTATCTATTATGATATTTTTGATATCAGGCAAAAACGCAAAAAATATAAAAATCGTCTTTAAAGGGCAATAACTTCATTAAAGAATCAGCTGACGATTTCAATCAAGTCAATTGTTTTTGTAGATATGGTGTTGCTGATCATTTTTTATATTAAATGTTTCTATATTTTTTTATTGTTTTCAAGATAATAGGCAAAAATGAAAAAAAAATGTTAAAATTCAACATTCAAGGGTAGAAACTCCTATAGGAAATTTGTCAAACAGTTTTGATGTTAAAAGACAATAGGTAGATCCCATCATCCAGAATATTTAAGCCCCTGTCAGATTTTATCCATTTATAACAGTTTTCATGATGATAGACAAAACTTGAATTTTACCCCTATGTAATATTTTTAGCCATGTCAGCCATCATTGGACACATTTGTTAAAGTACATACTCTAATGATTATTGTGGCCAAGCTGGTTAAAAAAGAAGGTCCGATAAAGGCTAATTTCGGCCTAAAATTCAAAATTCATCTAATGAAAGATTTTTTACATTTTATAAACACTTCAAGTGTCTACTTCACTCGATTCTATTAGTTTATATTAAAGATTTGAACTGATTTTGTCATTAAAAGTGCCCAAATTCAAGTTTAAATATGAAAAATCTATCAATTATGCCATTAAACGTTACTTTTCAGATGGTTTTTGTCTAAAATGGAAGTGGCCGCATTCATGTTCAGTCTCAACATTTATATATATGTTACGTATTTTCATTAAATACAACATATATTAAGACTGAAGTGCGGCCACTTACTTTTTAGACAAAAACCGTCTTAAAATTAGCACAAATGATAAAATTAAGAAGATTTCAGTATTTTTGCATGACATAATGATGCTAGTCCTGATGCGTGTCCATTGTAATGTCAAACACGACCCATATTTATGTAACAAAAGTATTCTACTTTCTTATAAATAGCTTAAAGTTTACATTTTTAACAACTTCGTAAAAAGGCTATATTTTGGGGCTAAAAAGGGGCCTTAAGATTTTTTTTGTAAAAGTAAACGACGGCCGACGCAATGTTATGAGAAAACCTCACTTGGCCCTGTGAACCAGGTGATCTAAAAAGTAAATTTTGCAAAACACACAATGTATATTTTTTCAAGAAAGAGTTTTTTTGTTTTGTTTTTAAATTAACCACTTTTGAAATACAAACATAGCAAATGAGCGGATTCAGAGTAGTTCTATTAGTTAAGGAGGACCATTTTATATTTTGTGATGGGGATAAGGGATGCTAATGAAATGAATGTGATAGTGTCTAGAACTGAGGATCAATAATATTGCCTAAGACATACTGAAAAGGAATCTTCTGTACATTCAGGTGCCCATCAGCCGCATACGATTTGAAATAGGAAATGGGTGTGTTCATAATGAAAAATGTTTTTTTCGACGAAGAGAAAAATGAAATAAGTAATCCAGCATGATAAAGATGTCATTATTCTGTCTATGCAAAACTTCTTGCCCAAAAGCCCAACCCTAACCAAATAAATTAATTTGGTCGTCCTCTCAGCAGTTCTGTTCCTTTTGTCTTGTTCTTGTATATTCAAAGGACCTGTCTTAAAAATAACCTTTTCTCGTTTAAATTGTTTTACATTGTCATTTCGGGGCCTCTTATAGCTGTCTGTGCGATATGGGCTTTGCTCCTTGTTGAAGGCCGTACGGTGACCTATAGTTGTTAATTTCTGTGTCATTTGGTCTCGTGTGGAGAGTTGTCTCATTGGCAATCATACCACATCTTTTAATTTTTGAATTTGTAATCAATCTCCTGATATTGAATTTGCCATATAATTTACTATTCTGGGTTATACATGTATTCTGAAGATAACTGCATTTTTGATATTGTTTTTTTTCCGATTTTTGTCCAAATGAAACCGAAAATATATTGTTGCTAGACAGTTTTGAAATATAAATAAATGTTTGCTAGGCACTCTTCCAATATAAAATAAATGGTTGCTAGGCACTTTTCCACTATATATGAATGATTGCTTAAAATTATGTGATGACATCCTCCCTTTAACTTTAATGTAAGGTCTTTGTAATAGTTTATATAGTCCTGAATCTAAACATGTATGGTTACTAGGTACTTTTTTTTATCAAATAGGGGTGGTTGCAAAGCACTTTTGATATGACCTTGACTTCTTACTATTGATCTGTTAACATAATAGTGGCTTTAAACGTCCTGGACATTCCCCCGTGTATTGCATATTCTCAATTAATATACACAAGATCAAAGGTCAAGGTCATCAATGACCTTTGATCTCTGGTCAAATTCATGGTAAATTAATTGCCAATAGTTCGCACATCATAGTCATTCAATAGTTATTACTTTTTAGGAATTATCTTTATAGCATGGTTAAATTTCAGAGGTAAAAAGCCAAAAATGACACATTTTTGTTTCCATAGCAACCATCCTAGGACCCAAAATCCCAAACATTTTGTTATAATTAATTGGCTAGAAACATTGATACTTTTTATTTACAACCACAGCTTAAATGGAGGTTGATGTAAAAATGTATAATTTGTTCATTCAAAATGTGTTTAATTTGTCTACTCAAATACAATCAAAAATGACCTCAACTTCTGCGGTTGTGACAATATTCAGCAAAAAATGTTTTTATATATGACATTGCTGTTTTGTTTGTTAAGTATCATGTTTTTGAAAAATATTAACAAATATCATCAAATAAAATCTGGTTTTGATTCTGAATGACTGCAAATACATGTAGTTGGTTTTTTTATGCTAGATTCCATAAAATGTACGGGAAACTCATTTACTTGGTTGCCATAGCAACCGTGGCTTAGCAACATTTTCGCGGCCATTTTTCTTACTTTTTTACCTGATTACATGTCTAGGCTAAGTTCCAGGAAAATCGGTGACTATGCGTGCCGACACCCCCTATATGAAATGGTTGGTGGCTTCATAGAATGGCTCTTAATAACTGATCAGACGACTTTAGTGGTTTCTAAAGATTTGAGACCGTGAAAACATGTCACTAGTGATGTGAGACCGGCACATTGGTGACCTTAAAACTTATGTGGTTGTTTACTTCAGTCATTCTTTCTCATAATTCGGTTAAAAGCAATTTTTGTAAAAGGAGCACAACCCAAATAATGCAGTTCGTAGAGATACAAAACCGTAGAAGGAAAAGACTATTTCAAAAATTGCTTACAACGGTTGTATATATAATCATTATCTTATTATTTCAACAAATGATAAATTAGATTTAAGCAATAGCTATTGCTGTCAGGTTAATTTCTATTTTATGATTAATGCAAATTATCCTCACCTTTTTCAGATTGAGTTTGATAGCCACTAGTATCCCCTTGGTGCTCTGTAAAATGAACAAAGGGCAATCAATGTTGTGTTACTATAAAAAAAACTGCCATATGTTCAGTAAATTATAAATATAATCATACTAAAAATATCTTGCACATGCGACTTAATATTTTGTTTTGTTGAAATACATGTAGAGATGTCAACAAGAATACATTTGGTGTGGTGCTATTTATACCCCACTAGAAGTTTGAAGTACCGGAAAACAGGTATTATTTGTAGTTGAAGATGAAATTTGTTTATTTGGTTAAGCAGTAGTTGAAAATGTATGGGAAAATATTTAGTTCATGCAACATACTGAAAACTTGAATGTAACGGCAAATATACAAAGGTGTCTTACATATCAGAAAGAGCTCGTACGTATCACTGTCGAGCTGTGCACTAAATATGAAGTCGCACTGTTATGAATTGGTTGAAACAGTCTGACGGATTTTTTTTTTGTCTTTTTGTTTTTGAAGAACGAACGGACGGACATGATGAACGCAATATAATCTTGATTAAGGAACAACGGTCTTTTCAATAAGTTCCCGAAAAAGTTTTCAAATCATATTTCAGAGTACTTTATAAAATGTAAAGTAGTTTTGGATAAGCGTCACTTGCAAAATATGCCTGTCAGAAGACTGGAGGCTTTTATTCGGGGGTTTTCAATGATTGATGGCTGCTATATTTGTTTTTCGTGTATCATTTTAGCGAAATCAGGTGTTCTCTTTTTAAATTGTGTCGCATTTTTTCATGTCGGTTCCCTGTATATTTGTCTACACAGTTTGCAGTTTTCTCATTGTTATGACCGTATAGTGTCATATAATCCTCGTCAATTGGTCTTTGGTAGATACGTGTCTCATTTCTTATCGTACCACATCTTCTTATCTATATCATGTATATAACACATGATTTGTCAGTCTAAAAATACTTATATGAAAACATGTTTTATGAATTTCATTGAATTATAAACAAAATCAGATAATTTTCGCAATAAAACTGTCGAAAGACATAAGATCTGAAACACTGAACACTTAACTAAAACGATTTGACGTCCATAAAAAAAACTCAAACGAGTTGATGTAAATAATAAGTACCACCCAAAGGTAATGATTTTACAAATCTTTAAAACCTATTGAACAAATACCTTGAACACTCGCTGCAAACAGCTGAAAAGTATGAGGTTCAGAGTCTGCCGTCACTGGACTGCAAGTTGCAGATAAATTCAAATTCTTGTTTTTGTTGTTGTTTATTACAGAAAAGTCCATGGATAGTTTGGGAATTTTCGTCTCACTATCATGTTCTAATTTTGTTTCTTCATTAGTAGATGATACAGAAGATGTCGGTGAATCTTTAATGTTTTTTCCTTGCTGTTTTGAAGCATACAGATCTGTTTTGTCTTTATAAAATACTGAATCAGTTGAGCTTTTATGGTCTTCATTTGTGAAATTTCCTACTATATCGGATTCATTTTCTTCATGACAACCTGAATCAATAGACTCCTTCGGTTCCCCGTGCTTTGACGAAAACGTTGGACATTGATGAGGAATCTCCTTTGTTTGGTATTCAGCTACAAAATTTCCTTTATCTGTCATCGATTCAATATTTACATTGTCATGTTGATGCTTAATCAAAGCCTCTCCTAGCTCAACGTCAACTGGTCGTAAATCATCATTTTCTGTTTGTACGTTGCCTTTTATAAAATATAGTAAAGGTATTTAAATATTACGTAAACATAAAATGTTATTTACTTTCTCGTTTGTAATTTTCTTGAGAGTTTTTTTTTATTATGATAATTCTAATCATCTTACATTGTTGTTTTTAACAATAAAGTTTTCAATTTCCAGCTCTCTTCAGAATGTTAACATCTGTCTTAAACTGGCAGTGAGGTTAGAGTTGTTTTGCTCCGTGTTGAAGGCCTAACTGTGACTTTGAGATGAAGAACTGTCACACAAGCGCTGTTCTTTTGCTTTTGTGTTTTTTGCTGTACACATACTGATTTTGATTCATGGATGGATACCTCATATCCTTTCTTATCTAGTATGTAAAAAAAACAAGGTAGACCTTCATATCGGAACGACTAAAATTTTAATTGAAGCTTTAAATTAGCTGGATGCATTAATTAAATGTTGCTTATTTTGGTATTCATATCATGATTAGAATTTGAAGTGCACTTTCTATTTTGCTCTTCAACATCTTATATTGTGTTGTCACACCATTGTCCCAATTTAAGAGGAGGGTTCTGAACTCACACATAAGTTTCCCCCACCACTTTCGTTATATACCTGTCTCAAGTCAAGAGCCTGTAACTTCGAGATTGTCTTTGGTTGATGTCTGTTATAAATCATTCCGTTTGTTTCCTCATTATATTGTTTTGCATTCATGTCATGTCGGGGCCTTTTATAGCTGTCTATAAGGCAAGGATTTTGCTCATTGATGAGGTCGTTCGATGACCTATAGTTTCTTACATCAACGTAACTTAGACTGCGGTGTATAGTTGTCTCATTGGCAATCATACCACATCTCTTCATTTTTATATAAAATGAGAAAATCAAGTCAAGTATTTCAGTCCATTTTGTGAACTTTCGGGTTTTATTTTGTGTTCTGACAATTGCCTTACTGTCTACCATTCACTCCCTTCAAATTGAGCTCAATAACAATCATATATATACACGTACTAGAAATCAATAACAGATTCTGAATGCATGAACAATGACTAAGATAATTCACAGCAAGTACAAGGTCTGTAGAAATTGGCAATTAAAAAGTATCGCATCTGAAAATCATCACAAGCAAGACATAACGTGGAGATAATAGATTTACATTGTCATTTCGGGGCCTTTTATAGCTGACTGTGCGGTATGGGCTTTGCTCATTGTTGAAGGCCGTACGGTGACCTGTATTTGTTAATTTCTGTGTCATTTGGTCTCTTGTGGAGAGTTGTCTTATAGGCACTCATACCACATCTTCTTTTTTATATATACAATTTATAAAAAAAATATCCGAACTAACACTATACCACAATTAAACAATTTTTTGAATTGAAAATTCTTATATGTATCATTCTAACATACATACCATGTGTCCAACAAATTCCAGCCAGTACAAATCCCGATCTTTTAACACAAATCGCTATAGTTACCACTGATAATAGTATGACCAACGCTGCAAGGACAACTATGCTGTAAAAATAAGTAAAGGCTGGGTAAGATTGGCTGATATTCGTTTTTTTAACGAATTCCCCTTTTTGAATTTGCCTACAGTTCGGTTTTTTTGTTATTACATTTTTTTTAAAGTAGTCTAGTACAACTGCTACAGAAAAAGCTAAAATGTACTACATTGTGTGGTAACACTTTCAAGATCAGAATAATGATGGTTTCATCCGAAATAATGAATGATATAGGTTAGAATGCGCACGAAACGTGCCAAATGAATAACCATAATCAGGTAATGCTCGAAACATGCTTTGTAAACGATAATAACTAATGAAAGGTTTACCTAGATAAAAAGATCTCTCAATTGTTTAGTAGTTTTTATTTATTTTATTCAAGACATGTCTAGTCACAGCGGACTGAGAACATGAGATATGGTAAAACGCATGTCTTTGTAAAAAGCGTATATATTTATTTATAATATTTTTTGTGTTATTATGTTGTATTAACGCTGTCTAGTAAACCAAATGATATTAGTTGCTCGGTAATAGTTGTACATTGGTCGTTGTAGATTAAAGTTCTTCATAACCTTTCGCAACATAGGGTCGTATTAACACCACATACTTTACTCTTTTTAAAAAAAAAAACTGTGCACTTGGAAAATTTTAAAGGCATGGGTTAATAAATACATGTACTGATTGAAATTGACAATAGTGGACAAGAGATATCTGCAAATAATATGCGATTTTAACTGTTTACCAGAGTAGACCTTATCGATTAACACGCAGGTGTTTTCTAATTTTGCAGACTTGAAAAAAAGCACATCAAAAAACATGTAAGTTTTTAATTTTCTGAAACATAAAATGCAAACAACTTTAATATATCTAGGTCCAGCTATGCCTTAAAACCTTTTTTAGATGCACCAGTTTGTCTATCCTGAGAGTCGATTGTGTGGTGAAAACATGGCCATATTTGTCAATTTCCTTTAGTGAACCTCCATGAAGACTAATAACCTACCCTGATGGAGCGTTTTGCAAAAAGATGTGCATTCCTTATTTAACAGCGCGTAAGAAAACAACTTTAGGAGCAAAATGCATTTGAAGGTCTATTGAAAGGAACACTGTTTGAAAAAATGCCATGTAGAACAATTTCACTGTGTATGTTTACTTGTAAAGTAATATACTTACAAAATGATCAGTAGATCATCTTTTCCTCCTGACTTTTGTGGATTCACTTGCAAAGCTGTGATAAAAAAAAATCATAGTTGTTAAATGTCACAAACAAAGGTATAAAATTATAAATTCAATGAATATATAATATGTTTCAGGTTAGATCTGGGAAATTATTCTAAAATTAAGGAATGTATCTCCCGCATGCATTGGTTATATTCTTTTCTAAGTTTGAGCTTACTATTGGCCTTCTTTGGTTACTAGTTCTTTTTGAATTATGCTTTAGAGCTTTTGGTCCAGAGCATCTATGAAGAAAGATTAAATAGTCTTAATGCTCGTTATTAAAATTTCTTTCGTTACTGTCATTGACCTTACAGAAATATTAAATAAAGTCGATTTTGAATAATTAAACCTATTCATCAGTACAAATTTATATTCACCTAGCGAAATGAAAAAAGAAGTGCTTGCATGTACACAGACCAATCAAAATCAGTTTATAAAAGAATGAAACATTTACATTTACTGCCTTTTGATTTGATAATATTATGTTATATTCTTGTTGCAAACTGATATTCACTCCAACCGTTAGGCTCGGGGAGTATAAGTTTAAAAGCAATTTATACAATATTTTAATTCGGCAAAAGACATGAATGAGGAGGTTAAGATAAGTTTTACTTCATTGCTATTTCGTAATGCCTAATCCCTCGATATAACTTATTTATGTAATACTATTTAATATTTGTAACTATGCTGGTGTCGCAAGTCGAGCAGGATCTATTCAATCTTCCGCAACACCTGAGATCAAACCTGATGTTTGGTGGGGTTCGTGTTGTTCAGTCTTTTTTTTATGTAGTGATTTGTAGACTGTTATTTATTTTTTCGTTTTTTTTTCGTTTTTTTTTGCCAGATTTTGTCAGTATCTTTTCGACTTAAGAGTCTTAATTCTCCAATTAGTATCTCCCGTCTCATGTTTATTTTGTTTTCTCATCGGACCTTGAAGAAACTATTATCCTTATTGTCCATGGATATGGTTGTCCAACGACGATCGGATTAAGAACAGGATGAACTTTCGTTGCAGCTCAGAAGAAACAAAAATTTGGCCCACAAATTTCGAAATGATTTTTTTTTTAAACTGTCTAAATGTTATTTTTTTTATCAAATTAATCAATTGCTTGGATTCAATTTATCGACAAACAAGCAAGTATTCATGATTAATATTAAATATGAACTAATATTAAGATTATGTGAAAACAAAATATGAATGAATTATACATACGTAAAAACGTTGATGAAGAAATGTGTGCAATGATGAAATGAGTGCTCTTAGAGGTATGCCTCCCAACGGTATTGCTGAAATAAATGAGACAGGATGGAGTGCAAAAATGGACTCATTAGAAACTTTTTTGAAGTATAAGCCTCTGAGTGTCAACAAGACATTAAAACGTGTTAAGTTGGATAACGAGGACCACAAGGTTATCGGTTATCGGTTACGAAAGCAGACAATGTTTTCCCCTGAAAAATCCCATTTTAATGCATTTCTAATGCAATTTCTTTTTCCAATGAATTACATACCGAAAATACATAAATACTTGTCTTTGGGTGTATTTACTTGGTATGTATTCTAATTTTTGCGATAAAGATGTATTTGCTAAATTTGTTACAACATGTAATAGAAAATGTATTTTGTTAATACTATTTGAACTTTTGGACATGTTTGCCTGTACGAGAAGAAGTTTTAAGAAAAGAACGGTCAAACACGCTTACAATTATACAAAATTTACTACTTGTCTTCGTTTTAGAAGTTTTGTGGAAAATAAACATAAACCATATTCTTTTTACAGACAAAACTCACAACTGAATGACAAAACATTAGCAAACGATCAGTTAACATGTTTCTTTTGGTTACACTACAACATTTGCATAACTTTTATTTCGACATTTAATTTTTTTTCCTTTAACAATAAACTCATCATAGATGCCAGCTGAAAATGTTGTCCACCAGGCGTGCATTTCTTCTATCACAAACTATCATAAGTTGTGGGCATTAAGGTCCCAATATAGTCGTATTTTTTAAAAAGATATTTTGATAATAATCCTATTTTTCCAAAAAGGTCAATTTCAAAAGACAGAACATGCATTTCTGAGACCTGCAGGTTTTATTGCAGTCCACATAGTTGAAAAAATTGAATCAAACAAAGAAATCTCGAAGGAACGAAATGATTGTAGCAGGATGCTGTTACGAAGTCTCCCAAACAAAGTGCCCATAAGTATAAACCCCTAAGGACTCCCCTATTATTCATTTAATTTTTTATCATTTTGATTTATCATGTAGAACATTTTCAATTATAAAGATTCTCCAATTTTTAAAATATTTTGTGAAAATTGAAAAAAAATGACCAAGGTCAAAGATCAAGGTTATAAGTGACCATTGATCGTTTGACCTGAGAGTAGGTCATATTTCCCACGGTCATTACTGAAGACCCCATGTGTCTATCACTCACTGTTTTCAAGTAATAATCATTTGAAAAAAAAAATTAAAAACCCCATCGGGCTCTAAAGTAAACCCCTCTCTTTTTTGCCTCTCAAGGTACGCCTTTATAGACCCCAATGCACAAACAAAACCCTGATTGCACCAATAGACATATTTTGAAACCTTAAGTAAATCTGACTAGCGGTTTTGGAGAACATATGCGAGAACGTTCATTTAAAAAATCGACGGAAGAGGAAGAGGAAGAAGAAGAATAAAGAGCAAAAACAATAAGTCTCCAAACTTTTTTTGGGAGACTAAATAAGATAAAACACATAATTGTCATTATTTAGATAATATATTTTACAAATAATTTATTGCATACCTGTCTTTAAGTATGTCTATTAAATAAAAGACAAAATGAAAGACAAACTGTTCTTGCTATTTTAGAACCTTTTTGCCACAAAAAATCTTTTTTGGAATTTTCGCGTATCAATGCTCTTCAACTTTGTTTTTGCTAATTCGAGCGCCACTGATGATTATATATATAATTATATTCGAGCGACACTGATGATTATATATATATCTAAGTCGTTAAGAAAGGGTAAACGCTTGTACTGTTGTTTCATCGATTATATTAAAGCCTTTAATAGTGTTTTTCATGTTAAGTTGTGGTCTAGACTAGTTAGATGTGGAGTTACTGGTAAACTTCTTACTGTAATTAAATCTATGTATTCAAAATTAAAAACTTGTATAAAGTGTAATGGAAAAATTTCAGATTTTTTTTAATGTAATACTGGCTTGATGCAAGGGGAATCTTTATCTCCATTATTATACTCGTTGTATGTTAATGATATGGAAGTAGAGCTAATTAGTAATGGCTGTCAGTCATATGAAATTGAAATCTTTAAATTTATTTTCACTAATGTACGCAGACGACACTGTTTTATTTAGCGAGAACATAGACGATTTGCAAAATATGATAAATGCTGTAAACTCTTCTTCAAAGGAATATGGTTTATATATCAATATGTCTAAAACAAAAGTAGTCTTTTCTGATTATATATAATTATATTCGAGCGACACTGATGTTTATATATATAATCATATTCGAGCTCCACTGATGATTATATATATAATTATATTCGCACTCCACTGATGATTATATATATAATTATATTCGAGCTCTACTGATGATTATATATATAATTATATTCAGATGAAACGCACACCTGATATTCCAAATTATAAGCCTGGTATAAGTTAAAGTTTTTATCATCCATGACAGATCACACAAGAATGTGAAGATTACTAAAATATTGATTCCATATGTCTCAATCACAAACCTTGGCATCTTGTGTGTTACAATTGGTACCGTCTTTTGTAAATGTCGACATGGACCACACCCACTTCCATTCTTGTAAGTACCATCTGGACATGGAATACATTCTAAGAAGAAAAGGATTATCATTATACTATATTATGGTAAAATTCAAATGCATAAATGAATGCCATAAAACCGTTGTATGTTGACAATGATTAGTTTTAATGCTTCTAATATGAAAAAAAAATAATAACAGCGACTACATTATCTCGCAAGGTTATGTACATAACAAACACAGCTGGGAGAGAAAATTGTCGGAAATGCAATACTTCCAAACAGTGTGAGGTATTGAGCATCGAAAAAATATCCTGCTTTGTATAACATCCTTCCTACAGAACATGTAAGTTTCCAAAACATGGTTCAAACAGGTACAATACTGTACAGGACAACTTCATATTTATATAGTTTGTGATATATAACGCTGTAAAAAAATAATGATAGTGTCAAATCTGAAATTTCTGTTTGATATTCAAATAAAGCGCAGATAGTCAAATGAAAAATCCTAAAAAATTTAACTTGGATTGTCTCCCCTCAAGTCACAAATTGTTTGATCAATCTTTTCTTAAAACAGTGATGTATACAATTATATTAAAGTGTGTCATATTCTCAATGTATAACATACCTCCTGATTGATTTAGTGTTGTGTTAGGCGGACAACCTCCGACTTTTGCATTACATAAGCAGGGATCCCCATAATGACAGATTGCTGTTTTGCATTTGCATTCTTTTAAATGGTCACAGTAACCTTTTTTCGAGACACGACTGTAAGTGATATCTGAATAACGTAAAACTTGGAAAATTACTGTCAAATTTAGGGTTTATATTGTTAAAGTTACTACAAATACAAATATGCACATCAAAACCTGTTTTTCTAGACTAAAATGCATAACGCATTATCTAAGTATCAATTCATTCTTTTCCTGTTTTATAAATACTACCATGAACTGCTAGGTCCCTATGGACTACAAGAACTAGATTGTTAACCACTGATTATTTAAGGAGCCCTAGTTTATACCAATCATTCAAAATAAAGTAGTAAACTGTTGCCACTAGTAGAAAAGGAACAAGCTAATTTTCTCTTTTGACTTATTTCTCATATTCATTTTGGGCCTTTTATAGCTTACTATAAAAATAAAGAGATGTGGTATGATTGCCAATGGGACAACTAACCACCAAACATCAAAGAAGTGGATGTAAGCAATTAAAGGCAGCCGTACGGCCTTCAACAATGAGAAAAACCCACACTGTATGTCGGCTATAAAAGGCCCCGACATGACTTACTGTACCGTTTGTGGTTTCCTTAAGGTTGCTTAAACCTACGTCGTTTAGTTTCTTGTATATAGTTGTCTCATCTGCAATCATACTGAATCTTCTTATTTTAATATACATCCACGTCCTTGGTCTCCGGTGGATATTTGTCTCATTGGGAATCATACCACATCTTCTTATTTTTATATTTAATTTTACAAGTTATACTTTTTATAATGATTTTGCACAATGAATCAACTTTTTTTAATTTTACCTTGTGCCAGACATAGCTCTTTCGGTTTAAAGCAAGCAGTTGAACTCGCATCCCCATCAGATGAAGATGATATCAAATCTGGCTGTTCCATTTCATTTGAACAAGGAGCACATAAATCAAGAGTAAAGTTTTTAGTACATGGCTGTATTTCATTGCCTGTAAAATAAGATGAATTTAGCGTATACCCTTAAAGTAAAAACAGATATTTTAGTCGACTGGACATTTCTCCAACTAACCACAAGAGAGAGAGAGAGAGAGAGAGAGAGAGAGAGAGAGAGAGAGAGAGAGAAGAAAAACAACCGTTCACAAACATTACACAGAAACCAAGGATTTATATAGTAAGATTACTACAACTATATAAAGAAAAGATTGATAATGACGACAATTAAAACAACTTGCAATTATTAGATAAATTTTGACTTTTAATTATTCCGCACGCTATTTGATATATTACACTTTAAGCTTTTTAAACGACCTTTGCTCTTTTTATTATACAAGAAAAATATTTCAATAATGAACGAATACAATATATGAATTTTTAAACTATTAACTCTTTGAACGAATATTGCAGGTTTTATATATACAATAAATAATCAAAATTTATTTTTTTCCGTCCTGAACATGCTTGAAATATTTGCCACTGGACGTTAAGCAACCATCAATCAACCAATCCTATGCAACTACTAAATAAATTACTCTTCAACTGAGTTTAATACATGTACTTACCTGGTTCACAATCATAGTAAGGGAGACAATTTCTGTTGAGCTGTTTGTAATATATATAAGTCATTGAAACCTTGAAAGAAAAAGAAAATAAATAGATATAAGAAGATGTGGTATGAGTGCCAATGAGACAACTCTCCATCCAAGTCACAATTTGTAAAAGTAAACCATTATAGGTCAAAGTACGACCTTTAACACGGAGCCTTGGCTCACACCGAACAGCAAGCTATAAAGGGCCCCAAAAATGACTAGTGTTAAACCATTCAAACAGGAAAACAACGGTCTAATCTATATAAAAAACGAGAAACGAGAATCACTTATGAATTACCAAATCAACAAACGACAACCACTGAACATCAATTAATATCAATTAAGAAAAAGGAGGATTGTTAGCATCAAAGTTGTTATTTTACTATAAAAGTACCTCCCTTAACAATAAAACCTCTTTGTGAAATTATTGAGTCAACAGTCTTCGATGATATTCACGATGTTGTGTGATATTTGACAATGGCAATGTATCCTTTAATTATGTATAATATTATATAACAGTAAAAGAAGGAACAAAACACTAAGTGGGAAATACAAAAAACCCATTAGTCGAGGGAGGAATGAAATAGAAATACGTCGAAGGAAACCTGACAACACAAGTACTAAATTATATAATATCAGTAAAACGTTTAAGTACAAAAGATACCAAAAAAAAAGGGGGGGGGGGGGGGGGGGGGGGAGCAAAACAATCTTTAATGCAATAAGCACCATAGTTAGAGGTAGAATAATCAGAAAAATAGAAGTCACCAGAACACAACGAACTGAAAACTAGAAATTGAGCATAAAGAACAGCCCTACCAATTCAACTAGTGTCCTGGTGCTTTGGACGGTTAAGCACTGAATTTATAAAGGAACTTTAAAAGAGGTTAAAAAAACAGTGATTCACCTGAGGATGCGTTAAGTTACTAATGTCATTAAAAAATCAAATTAAATTACATTCGATGATGGCCATCAACGAAGAAAGGATTATGGGAATGAGACTACGACATAGATATTTCAAAACCAACATACAATTGCATGATTAATGAAATAAACTCTCTTGATAAATTTCATGCGTCCGAAGCGCCACTCTAGATCTACCTTCATCAGGAACGCACAAACCATAACACCTGAAAGGCCAAGCATGCGTAAATGTACTTAAACAGAAGAAAAGGACATAAAAAAAGTCAAATTCATTTAAAGTATACTTTGCCTAATGGAGTTGAAACCCTATTTCCTTTTTTATCGGGGAATTTAGATAATGAAAATAAGGAGATGTGGTATTATTGCGGCCATTGATATGACAGACATGAACCAACGAAAAAAAACTGCTGGACGTGACATCACCAGGACTTCAATCTCCAGTACTAATCTTTTAATCTACAGCAATTGAGTTATATATCAAACGCTGGAATTTAAATCTTCAGCGCTAGCGTTTAAATGTTTAATGTCAGAGTTGCAATTTACGTCTGCAGAGCATGAACTTACATTTTCAGCGCTATACTTCTTTAAATACAACTATACTTGAAACTTTCAGCGCTTTACTTTAAATCTGCAGAACTGGAGTTAACACCTCTAGCGCTGGATTTTTCCTGTTCAGTGCGGGAGTTTTCACCATCAAAACTAGAGATTACATCTTATATCTTCGACGTTAGTGTGTAAAAATCATAAACCATGGGACCAACAAGGTGATATATAAGAGGGTCTGGATGGGGTCCTTCATTTCTATATTCTCTAATTTTGTAAGCCATTTTTCTCTATTCTTTATACTTTTTGCCCATTGATCTCTATTTTTTTATATTTTAGCACCTCATTATTCTCTATTCTTTATTTCTTGGTCCATTTTTCTCTATTCTTTATATTTTTTTGCCCATTATTCTCTATCTTTTAAACCCCCATCCACACCTTCATATATAGTAATGTAGATATGAAAAAAATATTTCTACATGAATATGCTTTGTCTACGTGGACTACCATGTAGGTGTAATGTATTTGCGGGTTATAAACTATGTTTTTCAACGCGATAACCAATGAAATTATCGTTGATTTACTACTTTGCATTATAGCATATGCAAACAATTTGATATAGTAATCATTCTGTGAATACAAAACACAGTATACAGTTGCTCTCAAACTGTCAAAATAAGGAAATCGAAACCGAAAATTAGATAATTGTATGCACGGCAATTCAGATATTTGATGCAAGGTTAAGTTTGCGTTATCTTAGTGTTTATCTTATATGCATGGTTTTATAGATATTCAATATAAGATTACAGAAACACAGAGAAAAAATAAAATAAACTTTTAATTTATAAAAATACTTTTTGGCTGCACTTACTCCCTGACAATAAAGAAAAAAAATCTAGAAGTATCATATGTAATTTTATGTTTTGTTATACGGATCATTTGGTGACTATAAGCGAACCGACTCCACCAAATTGAACTTAAATACTTAGAATACTAAGATAACATCAAGGCCTGATTCATATCTTGAGTGACGTTAACAACTTGTTGAGATTTAAGTATAACGCCAGTGGCGAGGATTGAAATATATCCAATATGACTTTTCTATTTCAATTTAGCGACATTTTCCGAAGCACTTGCACTTGGAGTAAGGATATCTAAATCAATGCAATATTACAGTGCTAACTATCACGATATCCTTGGTGCATATTGATGATAACCATGAGTTATTGAACAAACGGCTTTAAATGGTAAAAAAAAACCAAAAAAATTTTTTTTTGTTTTGTTTTTGAAAGTTTTTGACGAAGGTCCTAACTATTTAATTGACCGTTATACAATGTCGGCCTCCTTTGTACGTTAATGACACTACATCGAATGCGATTAATCATGGATTTTTATTTGCTAAGACCATAACACTGTCTGTCTTTCTTCAACTTATGGATGAGATTTTTAGACTTTGGTGTCAATCATTTTTGAAATAAATTTAACCTAAAACTTCAATTTCTGCTGATGTGTTTGTAAATACTCACATGGTAAATACTGGCAACAAAAACAAGACACCGAATCATACTGTATAGACTTAATTATGTAGCTGCAAAAAAACATATTTCATTTTGATTTTAAATTCTCAACTTATCAATAGGTGCATACAGTTGCATTTAGCATCTTAATTTTACACTAACTAGTTTGTACTTTCATGAGCAACACAACTAGTGCCAGATGTGGAGCAGGATCTGCATACCCTTCCGGAGTACCTGAGATCACCCACAGTTTTTAGTGGGGTTGGTGTTGCTCAGTTTTTAGTTTTCAATGATGTGTTTTGTGTACTATTGTTTGTCTGTTTGACTGTTGGTCTTTTTCTTTTTTAGCCAAGGCGTTGTCAGTTTATTTTCGACTTATGAGTTTGAATTTCCCTTTGGTATCTTCCGCCTCACTTTTTTTAGCCTAGCTGTAGGATAAGTAAGTTGTAATTCTGTCAATCAGTTCCTCGGAATATCCATCATTTACCTCTGGATTAACTAATATATATATTAACATTTAAATTTTTTTTTTGAATAACTTGACATTTGTTATCATTTGTTATTTGATCCTTTTAATTTTCTTTTTCATAAAATAAAAAGTTTTTTATATTTAATATAAATATCGTACGCTTTTTAAAACTGACCAAAGATTTAAAAAAAAACTCCTCACTTTTAGAATCAGATAAATAAATGAAGAAAACTAAAGCTGCCGCCGCTGTTGCTGCTGAACAGGAGGAGGAGGAGGAGGAGGAGGAGGAGGATGAGGAGGAGGGGGAGGAGGGGGAGGACGGATATTTTTTACGTGCAAGCTCACAATGTAACAATACCCAGGAAGATATGTCACATTACCCGGACATATTATTTCGACTCCGAGCCTATCAGGCTAACCTCTTTATCCTTAATGCTGCATCTTTTGCAGAGAACAAGCAAATACCATTTTATTTCTGATTTTTTTAACTGGTCGGGGATTTAACCAACGACCACCCACACTCGATGCAACAAGCTATCACGAGATCACCGAGTCGTATGGTAGAAATAAAAATGCACACGCACATATAAAACGGCAATATATAATGTTACATGTAAAACAAATGTATTTATGCCTACTTCTAATTGATATGATACATAGTTTAATCATATTAGAAAAACTTAAAAAGAGAACTAAAAATAGTCAAAAGATAGGTACGAAAAAGTGTTGCTAAAATGAACACGTTCACTCAGATAACGACATTTACGTTGCGTATCTGGCATTAAGTCAAGATTTTAGTCTAACGAATCGGGAGGGGTTTATGGTAGTGATCAGGGGATTAACATTAAGCTACAAATTAATGTACCCATTTGAATATTTTTTTTGAATACAAAACCTGAAATTTCTACACATCCTGCGTTGATATGAAAGAGGGACACACTTCTCACAACCTAATTAAAACGCATTGAGCAGATGCGCAAAGCAAAAGATATGATGATAAATATAAACAAAAACAAAAACAAATAAAGTTTAAAACTAAATTAAATTTTAACTTTGCAAAAGAGATTTTGTGCTTACCTTTAAACCTGTATGGTCTTTATACAAATAATACCCTGATTATTGATATAATATGTTTTCGGTAGCGTCCCTACGCGGAAATAAACTTTGGGTAGACCATACATTTTCCCTTATTTACCTGTTTCCTTGTAATATTTAAATATGAATTAGTATTTTTAGGTTATGTTTATATTATCACTGGTTTGTTTAGACCTTGACTTTTCGATTTTTTTGTTATAAAAGAAGCACAAAAAATGTAGGAGCTCAAATGATAAGTCAAAACAATTTTTACTGTACCATGTGTACTGTGATATGATTAAAAAGAAAAACATTACAAATAAGACAGCTAAATTATAAAGATCGGACAACTAGTGAACTATCACGTTTACAAATTCGTCAGTTATATGATAACCACTCCACCCCCAATCCCCCCACCCCACTTCCCACCCCCAACCCCGTAAAAACGGCATGTAGTTATAAAATTTTTTACTAATAAAGAATATATGCCTTCATTATTTTTTTCAAGACGACCAATGTGTTAGTTAACGTTCTACGAATTTCTATGTTTTAGCATAAAGTATTACACAATGAATAAAGATTTATGTAGATATGCTAACACACAATAATAAACCATGTAGAGGTAAATAATAACAATCTCATAAATATTTTACAACGCCCGAATTTGTATAATCTAGACTTTAAAAAGACCAACTTTATCACATACACCAACAAGTGTATAAGTATTGATTTATTCTTTACAAACAACAAAATTTTCCGTTGATATAGCGTCACATTTTTATGTACTCATGGACCCGTGTACGAGGAAGTTAATTTCATTTTGAATAAAAAATACACAAACAAACGTTCAATTGGAAAATATAAGTATCCAAATTATACAGATTTTAAGGATGACGTAGACAATATCAATTTAAAAAATATTTATTGAAGAAAAGTTAATGAATATATACCAGATATAAGTAATGCTAGTTGGAAATTACACATAACTACAATTTATAAAACAACAACCTGCTCTAGAATACATTTTATTTTTATAAAAAAATTTAATATAATTTTGATAGAAATGCACTTATTACAATTTATTTGGCAATTATTCGCCCTATTCTTGAATAAGCTAAACATTAAATGGTCAAATTGTACAAATTGAAGCTGGTCGTTTTATTATTGGTCTCCAACGTACTACATCTCGTACAATTGTATACGTAATTAGGCATCTTGAATAAGTGAAGTTCTATTAAAAAGTATAGAGTTCTCATGTGAAAATAAAGTTCCCATAGGATAAATTCGGAAATATGTAAAAAGTAAAATAACAAAAATATCGAACTCCAAGAAAAATTCAAATCGAAAAGTCCCTTATCAAATGGCAAAATCAAAAGCTCAAACACACCAAACGAATGGAAAACAAATGCCATATTCCTGACTTGGTACAGGCATTTCCTTATGTAGAAAATGGTTTACCAAATTTTATCATCGGTACAAGGACATTATTCGTAAATATAAATCAACATGCAGACATCTTATACGTTCAGGTATTTCACATCCAATCTTTTATGGTAATATTCTTTACAAAGCACAAAAATGTCGGAATTCACCTCAAAAGCTAACCAAACCTTTAAACAGACTTATTCATAAGGGATATAGTTACGATACTGTTGTCAGGTCATTGAATATGACATATTTTGGTATTAATATTGATTCACTCATAGGGTCTTTGCATCGGAAATAAACACATTTGTTCTAAAACCAGTTGTTGGCATGATACGGGTTATGTTCTTCTAATATATTTTATGATGGTATGATACTAAACCCCTAACGGGAGGGATTGTGCTTGATTTTCATATGATGAAGACATAATCTTTCAATCAGTTTAATTGTAGTCTGGAGCTGGCATGTCAGTAACTGCTAGTAGTCCTTTGTTAATTTATGTATCATTGTCATTTTGCTTAGTTTCTTTTGTAAATGTAAAGTGTTAAACCGGACGTACAAACGAGCATTATCACAGTTTAATATATGTAGAAGTGAGGAAAATAGACTTTACTTAAATATTTCAAAACAAAGGTTTAAGCGTATGGAAAATACTTTAAAAAGGCGTTACAAAACCCAGAGAGGAGATATGTTTAGTTCGATGAGAAGAACCAACCCAAAATACTTTTACAGAAAATTTAGAAGAAAAAGAAAAACACTTAATAGTAATTTAACATTAGATGACTTTGTCACACATTTCAAGAATTTAGTATCGAAAGACAATATTATAGATGGTCAAGTAAATGATGAAAACTATGATGTGGTTTATTCAGAATTAGATCGCCCATTTACAGAACAAGAAATAGACATATGTGTGAAAAAACTAAAACGTGAAAAAGCACCAGGATATGACAATATTTTAAACGAATTCATTAAAGAATGTAAAACTGTCCTTTTGCCGTTACTATGCAAGCTTTTTAATGTTATATTATGTACAGGATGGTTCCCAGAAGTATGGGTTACTAGCGTATTAGTACCACTATTCAAGAAAGGCTCGATGAATGATACGGGTAATTATAGAGGAATATCACTGGTTTCTCATGTTGGAAAGTTATTCACATCGGTGATACATACTAGATTGATGAAATGGTGTAAAGAAAACAGTATTTTGACCGATGCGCAATTCGGTTTCATTCCGGGATATGGTACAAGGGACGCAATCTTTGCTCTTCATTCTGTTATAGCTAAATCTTTACGTAAAGGAAAACGGTTATATTGTTGCTTTGTTGATTATGTTAAAGCTTTTGATAGTGTTTCACATCTTATTTTATGGCAAAAAATGCTAAAGTGTGGAATAACTGGTAATCTATTGTGTTTAATTAGATCTATGTATTCTAAATTGAAAACATATGTTAAGTAAGATGGACAGTTTTCAGAGTTTTTTAGTTGTAACGCAGGATTGATGCAAGGGGAGTCATTATCCCCTTTTTTATATTCTCTCTACGTAAATGATATAGAAATAGAATTAATCAAACAGGGTATTGAGCCATATGAAGTCAGAATGTTAAATTTATATTTCTTCATGTACGCAGACGATACAGTTCTTTTTAGTGAAAGTGTTATTGAGTTACAAAAAATGATAGATACTGTGAATGAGTGTTCAACACAGTATGGGCTACATATAAATCTAAGTAAGACAAAAATTGTAATTTTTCGTCATAGAGGTAAAATAAAAGATAACGAAAAATGGTATTTAAATGGTAAAGTAGTAGAAGTATGTAATGAATTTGTTTACCTAGGTTTATTGTTTAATTATAACGGTATATTTACTGTAACACAAAAGACACTAACTGAACAGGGTAGAAAAGCTACTTTCAGCTTACTTAGTAAAACTTATGATGAATTTTTTAATATAGAAATGTTAGTATCTTTATTTGATACTTATGTTACAAGTATTATGAATTATGCTAGTGAAGTCTGGGGCTTTCATAAAGCCGAAGATATAGAAAAATTGCATTTATATTATATGAAAAGAATTTTAAAAGTTAGAAAAGGAACTGTTAATCACATGGTATATTTTGAGTTGGGCAGAGTGCCCTTGTATGTAAATAGATATGTGAAAATGGTAACCTACTGGTTGAGACTGTTAGACACAGAGAACTGTATTTTAAAACATGTATATAAAGATATGTACGAATCTAGTTGTGTGAAGCCAAATGACAAGCTAAATTGGTCTTGTAAAGTACGAGATATATTATGTAAATATGGTTTTAGTGATATTTGGTTTTCACAGAGAGTTAGAAACAGTCAATTATTTTTGAGTGAATTTAAACAAAGAGTTATAGATAATTATATATCTGAAGGTTTATCATATTTTGAAAATTCGCCGAAATGTACTTTGTATCAGTATTTACACGATGACCACACTATGCAATTTTACCTTAGCCGCCCATTAAACAGTTTGTATAGATCTTATATAACTAGATATAGAATAAATGCTCATACACTATGTATAGAAACAGGCATATACTATAGTATAGCCAGAAATGAACGTTTGTGTAGTATGTGTAATAAAAATGCGATTGAAGATGAGTATCATTTTATTTTAGAATGTGATAAATATAACGACATCAGATGTAAATATATAAAGAGTTATTACTATGAGAGACCATCTACTTTTAAATTAGTGCAACTGTTATCTGTAAGAAATGTCAAAGAGCTAAACAACCTGGGAAAATATTTATTTTCTGCAGAAAAAACACGTAATGGTTAATTATTCAAATGCTTATTTTTAGTTTAATATGTCTATATGTCATACTCCGCTTAATTCTTTCATTGATTTGTATAATTTGTGTATAAATGTTATATCATGCTGTATATTATCTATTGGATATTTATATTGTGTAAATCCAATAATTTTACTGTGCGTATTGCTGTGTGTTTGTTTATTCTACATTGGCTAGAGGTATAGGGGAGGGTTGAGATCACACAAAACATGTTTAACCCCGCCGCATTTTTGCGCCTGTCCCAAGTCAGGAGCCTCTGGCCTTTGTTAGTCGTGTATGTTTTTTTTTTTTCATTTTAGTTCGTTTATATGTTTTGGAGTTTAGTATGACGTCCATTTTCACTGAACTAGTACACATTTTTATATAGGGGCCAGCTGAAGCCCGCCTCCGGGTGCGGGATTGTCCCGCTGTGTTGAAGACCCATTAGTGGCCTTCGGCTGTTTTCTGCTCGTTAGTCGGGTTGTTGTCTTTTTGACATATTCCCCATTTCCATTCTCAATTTTATGGATTAAACCTGATTTTATAGCTAGCTAATTTTACTATGGGAATAAAAACGCTTCAATTGGAATATATTGTGCTCACATAGGAAATTGTAAGAGACACGGTATTAGTAAAAAACGTATCACTTTTAAAGAAAATAAATGTTGGTGTGTTTTGAACAAATTTATTTCCTTTGGTTACATTGACTGTCTTAAACGGTGGTCAATCAATTCATTTCAATATTCCCAATCACCATTTTTAAGTATCAAAACTTCTTTTCCAATTTATTGCCATCTTTGCTATTTGATTGAATTTATGTATCATGTTAATCATAGAAAAGAGATCTGTTTTTAACAAGTTAAAAAAAAAAGAGACCAACAACACTTTGAGGTATTGAATTTTCCTTAAATTTCACTAATCTGAAGAAAATAAAAACAATCTTATGTATTGTAGTTTGTGTGTTTAAGCAGATCATGCTCCACATGTGACACCCGTCGTGTGGCTCATACAAGTACAGATTTGGTGATGTCACATTCGAGGGAAAGAAGACGGGATTATGGTTACGACAATTGGAATATATCTGTAGTCATTTGTAAAACAGATATTCCAGAACGGTCAACCAAGTATCTGAAAAAAAGGTTCTCACTCGATCATTCAGTAGTTGTTTTAGTGAACAATGCCAACTTTATAACTTTATAATTTTAGTTGCATGAATTTTGATTTGATTTTAAAGTACATGATCAATATTCTTATTTTTAAAACTAAGTTTATTCCGATAACCTTTGTGGATACAATGGTATACAGAAAACAATAATAATAAAGTAACCCTCTGTCACGGCATTCGTGAAACATATGGTTTTCATAGAAGCATTTAAACATGTACCAGATTGTCTTAAAAATTATTAATATCAAAGTATAAAATTGAGAATGGAAATGGGGAATATGTCAAAGAGACAACAACCCGACCAAAGAGCAGACAACAGCCGAAGGCCACCAATGGGTCTTCAATGCAGCGAGAAAATCCCGCACCCGGAGGTGGTCCTCACCTGGCCCCTAAATAAAATTGTGTGCTAGTTCAGTGAAAATGGACGTCACACTCAACTTATATTTAAACGAAATAATGTTCCCTTTTCACTTTTAAGTAGAATAACTTGCTTTCATGTTGAAAAACTCTTAATTAAGAGGTATTTCTTCCAGAATCTTCTGTGTTTTTAACTTTTTCGTAGTAAATATAAACATAAGAAGATGTGGTATGATTGCCAATGAGACAACTATTCAGAAGACACCAAATGACACAGAAATTAACAACTATAGGTCACCGTACGGCCTACAACAATGAGTAAAACCCATACCGCATAGTCAGCTATAAAAGGCCCCGAACTGACAAATGTAAAACAATTCAAACGAGAAAACTAACGGCCTGATTTATGTACAAAATCAAATAATGAACGAAAAACAAATATGATATAAAGCAACAAACGACAACCACTGAATTACAGGCTCCTGACTCGGGACAGGCACATACAGAAAAGTTTGTTTGACCACGTGAAAAACATTTAAGTTCCGATGATTCTAATTCATATGTTGATCTTTCGTTCTGTAGTGGTATATTTCGCCGCTGTATGATACTCAAAGCAAATGCATCGTGTAGTTTTTCGTTTCCAGCTCATCAGTATGTGGTTTGAACAAATCACCATCAATATACAGTTTCTTACCAGTAGTACTTTTCCCCCCTCTGGCCTGTTTGGCCACCAGGTATAAAGTTTTTCGTTTTTGTTCGATTTCTTTTGTAAATTGCTCTTGAACTCCAAAATGTATCCCTTTTAATTAGAATCCATTTTATAGTATAATCTCTTTGTCCTTAATTGACACAAACTTTCATAAAATCGGACCATTACCTCTGCGACCCGGTGAATTGAAACTCTTTTTGTCAATATTTAACTTTTGTTTAATAAAAGATGTTTTCAACGCGCCCCTAAATTTCAGTGCTCCGATTCATTACAAACTCGAGTTTCATTTCTACATCATTAACTTTATGGGCAAGTGAATTCACCGTGAATTGCATAGCAGCTATCTTCTCAACTTTTCGGAAATAAAAACATGTATTTCATGAATACCTCTCTCTTTTTTATTTTGTTCATGTTCCAAGTGAGAAACTTCTCAGTTTGTTATTGCGGACTGTTGAATTTCTTTACGATTTAATTTTACACATTCGAGTATTGTTTAATACCATATGTTGACCTCTGGGTTTTTTTGTTTTTATTTTTGGGTTGTGGGCTGCTGTTTCATTGACATACCCTTAAACATCCTATTATTTACATTTTAATCTTTTTTAAGAATTTCACATTTATTCATAAAATAAAACTGTTATTCGGGTGAATAACAGTTGAAGAAAACTTAACAATAATTTTAAATGTTTTGACAATTTTTGATCTAGCAAAATTGATTGAATTTATATCTGTTACCTAAACCTCCCTCCTTGAACTTCGGTTTTGGTTTTTGTGTCCATTTTATTATTATTTATCTCTCAAAATTCAATCATATACCAAAATTCCAATTTCAAAGCAAGTCACTTAAAGCATTCATAATCTGGTTAGTAAATGTTCACAAATACCACATATTATTATACCTTATATTATAAAGTAATCATTTGATTGGCTAATACGGAATCCCGTGTCATAGTTTAATTTCGATGTTTTTCCAAAAATTGGCAGGAGCCCAACAATTGAAGCCTCCATCGAGCAACCCTATCATTCCCCGGTGAATAATCATTGTCGTACCTCAATGATCCCGAATTAACTCCCTTTAAAGTATGACGTCACTTAACGTCAGATATATAATAACAAATATGGCAACGGCCAGGTTAGAATCCCATCAAGGGACGAAGAAACAAGATCAAACAAGGCTTGGAAATTCCTCTAGTGCTGACAATATCTCTTGTAAACGGCTCTTTTCAGGGCCATCTGTTTTTTACAGAAAGAGTCTACCTTTGTTGAACATACGAATAATGTTAATAGACACAAAATAGTTTTCTGACGTAAGTTTTTTGACAATCTGTTACAATATTTTACATTTGAATTGTTTGTTCGGTATAATAAAACAGTTATGGCCCATTGAGTCGGTGAATATCCAAAATTGTCATCCCTAGTAAGGGTTATTACCCTCCGGCTAAATCCCTCGTGGAATAGCCCTTACTCGGGTTGAAAATGTTGGATATTCACCTCCTCAGCGGGCCATAATTGTATAATGTTGCAGAAACCTCTTCAAAGTATATAGTCGTGATGATTTTTGTATAGATTTAAAAAGACCTCTGAAAAAAAAAGATATCATTGTGTAATAAATTTATGGAAAACTAGCTCTACCTCTTTTTGTTTTGTACTATTATATATATTGGCATACGTTCTCCTCGTAATAACCAGTATTTCATGGGGTTTTGTTTGTAAGAGTTTCGGTCAAAATCAGAATACTTTCCTATAGCGTAATTTTGTTAGTAAATAACTATATATATATATGTTTAAGAGCTGTATCATGGTTAATAATGTCGACATACCATTTGTACCGCGTCCTCTCATATTTGATATAAATAAATGGAATAAAATATTCCGTGAGGAAATTTACTTCTTTTGAAGTGGCGATGTTTTTTTATACAGGAATTACAATAATTAAAACTGGATTTTGAAGATCTTTGACACAAATTGATATTGACTTTGCTTGTAACTAAAATGCGCTGTTAAACGTTTTGTACGTGGTGTAAGACTAACGGGCTGTCAGAAAATTGGATCCAAATCAAAATTCGATCAGGGATGAATAATAATTGGCATGCATTATGTTAACACAAAAGGGATCAGTCGTCTTGAGATTACTCACTGTACGATATTTATTGTCTTCACTGTTGAAGACCTCACAGAAGCTTGAAGACGAGGAACAGCAGAAACTGTAATATGTGTTTCATTTCTAATGATTTCACTAGACTTTTATCCCGTGTATATATACTGGTACCCAAAATGTTAGAATCAAATACACTAGTCGTAAGGGCGTAGGAGAAACATAAATTGGAGCATTGTTTATACTAAATATCGTTCAAGCGGGTTTTTTTTATTACGGAAAATTACACGCATGACGTCCCTTCGAAAGTGACGTTTTGGGGGAATTCGAAAATTTAACGTCGCGCCAAGAGTTAACTCCCTTTAAACTGTATCGGATGCCCTTAAACAATACACAAAAAACTAGCTTAGTAATGTACAACGAAATAATATATAAGTTGATTTGTTTAGACAGTGTTGGTTTGAGTTGTAGGATGCGACAAGTTATTAAAGGTAAAATCCGATAACTTTATATCATAAAATTGAGAATGGAAACAGGGAAAGTATTCATTACTCAATTGGTATACTTTTGTTAATTGAACACATTTACAATACATTCACTATTTAAGCTTAAGTTTCAAGCAGATATTTATGTAAATGCGTAGCGTCAGTCAAATATTTTATGTTGTCTTTCATTCGGTGATCTACCTCTTGCATTACAGTTAATCTGTACGTCTATATTCTGAAATTTAATTTTCTACACAAAAAGAAGTATCAAGTATCCCACTATCTCTGTCGTCCAACGATGAACTGCTATGGTGTTTCAATGTAAATGGGTAAGTTTCTATTGCGCTTGATATGTCTTCTGTCATAAAACTCACTTGATCTGAAAAATATTCATAGAACACCTGTCAAAATGTTGAATTAAACTAGATACACAGTCACATAGTAAATCATATAAATAAACAATGGAATCTCTATAAAAAAAACCAAATAAACTAAATATTTTATTTAAGAAATTTTCTTGCAATGTAGATGGTAGCTTGAATCAATTTATCAACGAACTGACTGGTACCATTGGTGTTTCAGTAAAATTGTAAATAAAAAGAGCATTGACCAGATCTAAACAGGAGGCCATTTCTATATTAAAATTTTCGGTCACTACTGTTAGAAAACTTGTTTATACGGCAACGGTTTGCGATATCAAGATACGAATGAATAAACATGATTCATAAGTTTACATGACAAGAAGATATTAAGAATAACGTCATCTAAAGAAAAAATATTTTTTTGAGTTTAATACACAAGTAAATGAATTATTGACCTGAAACGTAAAATTGTGTATGAAGTGATGAAGTAATGAGTCGGATTATATATGTTGGACAAATAACAGACACTTACAGTACTTTTCTAGTGATCAATTAAAATGTTTTCTGTTAAAGAGAGGCGAAAGTTACCACCAAAGGTATATTCAAACTCATCAATCGAAAACAAACTGACAATGCCATGACGAAAAACAAAAAACGACGAAAAGACAAACAACAGTACACAAAATACAACATAGAAGACTAAAGACTGAGCAACACGAACCCCACAAAAAAGCGAGACGTGGTCTCAAGGGCTCAGGAAGGGTAAGTAGATCCTGCTCCACACGTCCCATTGTTCAGTGATTGTTGTTAACTTTAAAAAAAAGTACTGAAATGATAGCAAACTTCATAAACAGGTCTAGTGTGAATTTACTGTTTTATTTGGAAAATGCCTGTGCCAAGTCAGGAATATGGCAGTTGTTTTTCACTTGTTCCGTTTATTGATAGTGTTTGATTTTGTCAGTTTTTATAGACTTCCCCTTTTTGAATTTGCATAGGAGTACGGTGTATTAGTTATATTTTTTTCCACTACTGAACTGCAAGGAAGTATGACAATAGTAGCTAAAAGGTTTCATAACATATATACTGCTTTATATTTACGTTTCCAACTACGAAGCAAAACACTATTTATAAAATAACCTGGCCTCATCTTACATGTTATTGAAATTACTAAGTATGCACGTATTTGTAACTTAAAAAAGTTCAGCAAATATATAACTATTGGCATCCAAGTTTCAATTGAAAGACAATATTTAAGAAGTATCTGACATTTACCTAAATTAAGCATTCATAGTTATATAACTGCCTGAGGCCAAACTTCGATCAGTCATACCTGAAGTTAAGTGAAGAATTATGTAGTTTAAATGTGTGTTTAATTGTTTCGTTACACTATTCGATTCAATATACATGTGATTTGCATTGTAATATAATATTCGTAATACGAGTCTGGAGCAGTATCTGCTATCCTATATTAGCACCTGCAATCACCCCCGGTTTTTGATACGGTTCGTATTGCTCAGTCTTTAGTTTTAAGGTAGTATTTTGTAGATTGGATTGACCTTTTGGAGTAATTCTGTCTTCTGTGTCTTTACTGATAGACAAGGTACATAAAGACACGAAAAGTAGTATAAAGAATCATTAGAGTTGCACTTTTAACAAATCGTAACTTTATTAACCTGTATTCATCATGTCGCCTTTTTTTGGAAGTTAGATTTGTACTTTTGTAACATCGAATGTAGGCAAACTAATTGATGTCTATACAATTTTATCGTTTAAATAAAAATTTCCATAAACAGTTTGTTTTTCCACACATTTTTGAGAAATAGAATTTAACGTATAAAGGGACATTTAATCTTCCCCTTTGACGTTCAATCTTTACCAACTTTAAGGAATATGTTTCACAAATTTTTAATGCATCTATGGTAGTATTAATGGTACATAATTATCTATTATTGCAATATTTGTATGACTTCGCAGATGTTGTTAAAATAAGTTTCAAAATGCATACCATTCATGAAAATGTAATTGACTTCGCCTAAATTACCAAAAGCTAAGATATGCACTAATATAAGATAATGTTAAGTAATGATAAATAGATTACGTGACGGTGTAAACTGGATAACCCTACCCACTACTTATCAACAAATTACGTACCAATATTACATTCATTGTGAATAGTAGTATCTGAAATCAACAAATATATAATTAAGATCCATTTATTACATCGGTGATCCGTTTATTTGGCAATCGCCAATGGCAGTCAGCAGGGTTTAAGAACATTTGTTGTTCGACCTGTTAGTCAAATGCGTTTTGTTAAAATATACTTTTTCACTTTTTTGGTCTTTTGGAAAATGTTGTTTGTGCTGTATTTAGACCCCTCTAACAAGAAATTTGTTTTGCATGCACACGTATAAAAATTGCGGTTTTTATCCAACGCAATCATAGGTTTGAACGTTGTTTACAATTTAGACTTGTTTATATATATATATATATATAATTGAACATGGGAGAAACAACGAGATAATAATTATCCACACTTATGTTGAGAATCATCAAATATGTAACGGAGAATATTGAAATATTTAAAATCTGTACGGGAAAAACAGATTGTACCACAATCACCTGTTGATTATGATTCTTAACTTTGCAGACTATAAAGTAGGAACGTAACCAGGCACTTTCAAATATGAAATTAACTATTGAGTGTCGATGAATGTTGTGATAAAAATAATAAGTCATAATTTAAATTGGTAGTATCTTTTTCTACTGAACAAAGAAAGACCATAGCGTGATATTAATTCAGTTTTGATTTGACGAAAAATTGCTCGTGAAATAATGTTTATGTCTCACTAAATCGTGCATCTAAATATGTTATGACCAGCTGGATGCATAATTGATAAACTGAGCAAAACTTTCAGTGTCGTGTGCGATTTTTTGGCAAACCTTTTTGAAATATTACTTTAGGAGCTTTTATTCAAATAAATAGAAAAGTTTATTCTACCACCAAATCATAGACGACATATCCTGCACAATGTGACAAAGTTTTGTAACTTTTTCATAACATGTTATCCCTTTTTTAATGTAAAGGTATATTACAAGTTTTGAATATCTTAACCGTTGAAATGTTATTAATTCAGAATACTTCGCAAAACAAAGAAAATAGGTTTCGTATTATTTCTTTATATTTAAGAACACATCATAATATTGATTTAAAACAAAGAAAGTCCGTACACTTTCAAAATGAATAGCACAGTAGCATATCATCTAACATATGACTTATGTTGCAATCGTTCAATACAAAACATGAAATATACTATCGTCCAATATTAATCCTCCGGAATTATAACAGATTTTTGCAATATACTTACATTTACAAGTCCCACTATCCACATAAGGTAAATTTGAAGATCTAGATACAGAATTATTTGTATGACACTTGTCATTTGCACATGTGTTTAAATTGTCTTTTCCAAATTTGCACTGGTTGGATGTTGACTGATCCCGATATATTTCTGCATTGTCGTTGTCAGTTGGGGTGGCTGTTGGTTTTCCACCCTCTGTTGTTTTATTATCTACAACTTCTTTAGCGTCTCCATTTTCGGCTTGATTTAGAGGAATGTCTTCCTGTGATGGGACTCTAGGATCACGGTGACCTGAAGAAAGAATTGTTAGTCTGGACAACTGAACAAAAGATGATAGATAGAGATTTGTTGATTAATTTACCTCTCATTTAAGAAGTAATGATATAACCCCACGACAAAAGTCATATTCCAGCATTTTGTTATGTTTCGTATTATTTTATCCAATAACTGTCCAGACAATCATTCTTCATTCTAATGTATTCAATATCATGGATACACTATAAACAATCTTTATATATATCAAAGTTATGGCAGTGCTCTGTTATCGCTGATTTTTTTTCGTACAAAGCAGTTACTAGGATGTCTTCAAAGCAAATTCAGAATATACAAACGTACGGGGACCTATAGTTGTTAACTTCTATGTCATTTGGTCTCTAGTAGAGAGATGTCTCACTGTCAATTATACTACGTCTTCTTAGTTTTATAATTATACTACGTCTTCTTAGTTTTATAATTATACTACGTCTTCTTAGTTTTATAAACTATTTTTAATGGTCCGCTCAAAAAATGCGTTGTTGGTGTTGGTTTCAGAAAGAAAAACAAAATTCTATCAATTTCGAGTTCAGGCTAAAAAGAAAATCATGATACGAATTAACATACAGTCGGTACAGTATTGGCTGCTGGATTCCAATTATGGTCACATTAACCTATTATATCTGTTTGGGAAGCTCACCCAATTGTTTCAATATAACGGAACTATAAAAGCTATAAAAGGAGGTTTAACCCACCATTTCCTTCGGAAAATGCCTGTACCAAGTCAGGAATATGGAAACAAAAATACTGAATATATTATATATATATATATCTAAAAGGGATAAAAAATTTAAGAAATTATTTAAATTGTTCTTCTGATCAGAGGTAAACTATAAAGTAATACTTCCTGCTTGGGGCACACTCGTTTAAAATAGTACACCTGGTCAGATAGTATATAAATTTAATTAACATCCTTTGAAAATTAAACCACATGTTGTAAAACTTAAATCGCAACGACTTTTGAATTCACTAGAAAAATAATACACGAGTTTAAAAAAAAAAGGTTTTCTTTTTACCAGTAAAACACATCTGTACTGAGGTAATTAAACCTTATTAAGGTACTTCTTATGTGCCATATCTTAAATTTTGACAAAACTTAATTAATCAATCTAAAATTTTACTGAAACTTTGGAACACAATTTCTATGGAAGTTCTAAAATATCAAACTCTTGGTGATACAAAACAAGGGTGTAATTTTTAAAATTTATTTAGTTGCCTTATATACATTTAAAAAAAAAAGTTTATTGCGTTATGATAACTAAACTCAACTGAAACCATAAATTTAGAGTGTAGGACAGAAGTCACAGGACAAAAATATTTTTGTATTTTTCTTGAACTATAACACATCAAAACAATTTTGTAAACAAAAATGTCTTCGAAAAAATCAATTATAATCAAATAATTGTTAAGAAAACAATATGTCAAAGTAGCTTGTTACTTAATGGCTTTATCGTGCCAAGAAATATATCCTTAGAATAATTTAAATTTGATAAATCTTCATTTATCAAGGTTTTTGAACAATTTCCTTAACTATAACATGAACAAATTTAATAAAAAGTAATTATTTCAAGATCTTTCACTTATTTTTTCAAACAATTATAAACAAATTATTTGTGAATTTTCGTCCTGTGACTTTTCTTCCCATCAAAATTGTGACTTATGACTTTCTGTTTTTTTACCTAAATTTTTGCCAGGCTTAAGTTATTGTTGAAAATTTTCCAGTAACCACAAAATATATCTGAACATTCAAAAAGTTTTGAATAACATTTAAGATATTTTTATAATGGTCGAAAGTTCTAGTATTTTTGATGTACATAATGCAATGTGAGCATGATCATATATATAAAAATTCATTTAACTGAAAACTTAATTTATTACATAATACTTTTTAATCTGACTCGAAATCATTTCCTTTGATCATCTTGTTTTTATTTTTTTTTAGAGGTGCTATATATGATGAATATAGTGTTGATAATAATATAATGTTTATTGTGAAATTTTGGTTTCAATGCTATATTAAATACATTTTGGATTTCAAATTGTTGTTCAATATTATAGCCAAGGGAAATAACTAAAACATAGTTACAAAATTTCTCAAATACAATAGATAGATACAGAAATAGGTCTAGATTGGTTAAGACGTGGCCGAGTATGGTTCAGACTAGGTCGAGTATGGTTCAGACTAGGTCGAGCATGATTCAAACTTGGTCGAGAATGTATCATTCTTTGTGACATTTTTTTGTTTTTTTTTATAGTGATTAAAATGATAACACAATGTTGACTGCTGTACCCGTATTTTTGACATATTTACCTATTGTGTCTGTTTGTTTTGTTCACGCATCGTTGTCAATATAATGGAATTTGATGCGACTGTCATACAAGTGAGAGGTTTAGCTAGCTATAAAACCAGGTTCAATCCACCATTTTCTACATAAGAAAATGCCTGTACCAAGTCAGGAATATGACAGTTGTTATCCGTTTGTTTGATATGTTTGAGCTTTTGATTTTTGCCATTTGATTAGGGACTTTCCTTTTTGAATTTTCCTCGGAGTTCAGTATTTTTGTGATTTTACTTTTTTTAGACACTTATAAAATGGTTAAGTACTGGTCGAGTAAAGGTCGAGAACAAGTTCAGACTGTTAAGTATGGTTCAGACTACAGTCGAGTAATATCAAGTAAATTTCAGACTAATTCAGACTGGTAGAGTAAAAATCAGTACAGTCGAATACAGATATAGGCCATTTCAGACTTTAATTGGTTTGTAGTGTAGTGTTTGATTGGTATACTCTTTTTGACACACTTTTACTACATAAAATACAAAAAGCCCTGCATAATATCCTTTGTTTTTCTTTATTAATAAGAAGATGTGGAATGAGTGCAAATGAGACAACTCTCCATCCAAGTCACAATGTATAAAAAAATCAGGCTAAAAATATGTATGTGTGTGTGTGCGTGAGAGAGAGAGAGAGAGAGAGAGAGGAGGCAAAAGGAGAAAACTTACTTTGACTTAAACAAATATTAAACCTGCACGTGAAATGTTCTCTTGTTCTCCATATACACACAACGACTATGAATAAAGTCACCACAGCTACACTGAGAACAGCCACGCTGTAATGAAATACTACGAAAATGTAATACTTATTTTGGTCATTATAGCCACCATACTTTAATTGCATATCTTGGATTAATATCAATAGAATTACACAAAGTTATAGCCATCGTTATAATAAGAATATAAAAGGATTCACGTTTGTTATTTTCAAATTGAAATTGCTGTTGACGCATTTTGATTTTTTATTGCCCATATGGTTATCCAATTGACCGTGTATAAAAATGTCTTTGATTCATTCTCAATATTTTGCTATTATGTAAGAAAATCCGGAAATGCGTATGGAAAGCAACAAAGTATACGTTGCAAGTTACAACTTTAAAAAATGATGAACATCACCAGCAACTACTTCACCGTTCACCTACCATCACATTATAAATAAGCTCTAAAGGACAAGAAATACTAAAACACAAATTGTGTAAGCAGATTTTCGCTTACGTCGTATTGTTTATGTGGTTGCCAATTATAAATTCACTAAGAAAACTATTTGATAATTCTAATTACAAGTGAAGTGTCTATATTTTATGATAATTATTTATGCATTATTTTTGTACTTTTTTTACGTTTTCTAACGAAATGTTAATTCATCCAATGTTGGTGACATAAAGGATAAAATACAAGTTTGTAGGAAACAATATTCTAGACATATACTTCGTAAAATAAAAATAAGGAGATATGGTATTATAGCCAATTAGACAACTTTTGTGGTCGCTGCTGAACTGTTGTCTAATTGGCTATAATACCATATCTCCTTATTTTTATTTTACGAAGTATATATCTAGAATATTGTTTCCTACAAATTTGTATTTCATCTTTTATGTCACCAACATTGAATGAATTAACATATCGTTAGAAAACATAAATAAAAGTACAAAAATAATGCATAAATAGTTATCATCATCGGAGATGACAGCAGCTATGGGTCAATGTACGACCTTAGACAATACACAAACCCAACACCGTATAGTCAGCTATCAAAAATCCAGACATGAAAAAATATTAAACAATTAATCAAAGGCCTGTTTTATACCTTTTTTTCTCAAACGATAACGCTTTAATTGCTGTTTATTGCACTTTGTTATCTTGATTTTGTCTCTTCCTAATCGATTTACGAGATTTGAACATCGATAAACTACTGTCCCCTTAATTTGTTATCAACCATTATTTTTGTCAAAAAGCAAAAGAAAGAAGTACAAATGAAACAAAATCATTTTGACTTACAATATACGTGTATTCAAAAAAAGTAAGGAAATAGTTTGAAATGTCAATAAAAATGTCCTTGAGACTTTATGTTCCAAATAATAAAAGAGTGAGTGTAGCTAGTAAAATACAAACATATACGATACCAACGAGTATCTAATGTGCACTTGAATAAATGCAAAACACCTTTAGTTATTAATTTAGGGAAAGGAGGAACATTTATAGTTCATTATCGTTATACCAGCAATGAGCAATAAAAGGGAACAAATATTAAACAAGATAATTTTGGCGCCCAGTATTTACTGGAAAAGTGTTTTGAATGTCACGTAAAAGGTCTTAGAAATTTTATTTTAAGAATAGTATAGCAGTGACCATAGCTAGTAAAATACAAACATTTACGATATAAAAAGCTGATTTAATCTACAATTGCACAATTAAAACAAACAACATGTTATTAGATAGGGGAAAGGATGAAAATTTGGTAGCTTTTGATGACGTCGTAAAACAACGACGGCAACACTTTACGACTTTCTTTATTATTAGTAGCTATTCTTACAAATAAAAAAAGCTGCATTCAATAATTATAAAAGTAAAACAGAGAGGTAATTTGATAAACTAAGAAGTACATGTAGTTGATAATTGCGCCTACTCACAAAGTGGCTCTTCATGCTGTCGTCATTCATGGTAAATACGTATGCCTTACATGATGCAGCAAAAAAAAAAAAACCAACAACAACAAAAAACAGTTCATGCATAATGATAATAGTAACCTTTATTATGGTCGCAAAGTTCAAAAGAAAATTTATAAGAATGAGATACGACTAACTAAACGTGACATGGCTACTATTGGTGAAGGCGTTGTTATAAACCCGATGATGATCAACAAAAACAATAAAAACAAAAGGCAGTCAAATAAGTGGAAAAGAATAACAGAAACTTTTACCAACATCAGTAAATCGCCATTAGTATCTTGCCTATGTATAAAGTAGTCAACAATCATGTAAAACAGATTTATACAGAAACAGAACAATAGGAAGATGTGACAGGACTACAGGAGAGACAACTTTCCACTCGATCCCAAATGACATAGTTTTAAAAAGTAAAGTTCACCGAACGGCCGTCAGCGATTATCAAACTCAAAACACATATAGCAAGCTACATAAGATCCTGACATGACTAAATATATCACAATTCAACAAGAGCCTGATTTATGTACAAACGATAAAGAAAAAACAAGAATGATATACAGTAACAAACGACAACCACATGTTTTAAGTATTCCGGCATCTCTTAAACTTTAAAACATCTTGATTGGTTAATTTAGTGGAATAACAGTAAGCTTCACAACATATCATTACCAAAATTGACAATGGAATATTGTGCCGTGCAAATGAAACGAAAGTTAAAAGAAAAACATGTAAACATTACTCTTACGCATCTTTATAGGATTTAGTATGGTGCAGGAAACCTTAGATAAGGTAAACAGTCAAAATTACAACTTGAAATGGTTGGTCTGAAATGAACAGTATATGCACCGGGTATACATTTAGTTATTCGTTTTCCATTATGTAGGATCATTGATTTTGTTCTTTTTGAACTTCATAACATAAGTTTTGCAAAATAAAAAGTATGATAAAATGAGCATTTTTTTTATAAAAAGTTCAACATCCTAAATTTTGTTGAAAAAAATAGAATATTTATCTTACATGATTTATCAAACAACATGTCCGCTGACTTTTCGTTGATTGGGTATTGCGAAATATACATTTCAGTTTAGATGAAAACTAACAATGTTAGCACATGACGAGACGAACACACTGTTTAATATGACATGACATGGAAGTGAATAAAAGCCACCTAACGTATCCATACTAAGATAAACATCTATCTAGGCCTTAACCAGATTTAACAATACACAATGACATGCATTTGTCTTACCTGCTGTTATTCTAGTAAAAAAGAGATACACTTTTGACATTCCTGTTCAACTTTTGAACTAAACAAATTATTTTAAAATAGTGATAATCTGGCTCATTTTAACAATATTGACCCATTATTAGTTTGAAATACCATTGATTATCTGTTTATCGCTATTTTGCCTATGACGTCGTTGGTGTTTACATTGACAACGTCACGTGCGCCCTTAGTTTCTGACGATAATTTTCCATCTCAAGCGAGTAGCCTGATATGACAAATTATCACCAAAAAAGATCAAAGGAAAAATGCAAAAATAGCGATAAAACCGTTTCTATTGTTTACACCATTTTCTACATACGATAATGCCTGTACCAAGTCAGGAATATGACAGTTGTTTTCCTTCGTTTGATGTGTTTAAGCTTTTGATTTTGCCATTCGATAATTAAGGGACTTTCCGATTTGAATTTTCCTTGGAGTTCAGAATTTTTGTTATTTTACTTTTTACTACTTCAAGTAACAATCTCGTAAACAAATTACCATTAATGTAAATAATAAAATGTTCTTTTAATAAATCCATTTCATGTTATTTCTGCACTAACAAAACGATAACTCTGTTGTCAGACTTTTCTAACATGTGTAAGTAATTGTAAGGTGGCATACAGTTTCTGCTGTTGTCCTGTGAAGTTTACTTACATTATTATCCTTGTTGTATTGTCCGATTCGTCAATATGTTTTCGTCGATGATGAACTGAAACTAAGAAAATATTCATTGATATGAGAAAAAAAAAGATGGAAAGATGGAATGGTATTTTTTGTCCAGTGGCAAATATGAACTTTCCATTGTACGAATACGAGACACTAACAAAATTTATTACAATTTAGGCACAGACAAGGTGCTTCAAGGGAATAACAATTATAAATAGAAAAATAAATGATCATATATATACTTGCAATTCTGCAAAGATGGAGATTAGAAAGTAATACATTGATGTATAGGAATACTTATTTATGTTAAATAATAAAATGGCATTACACCAGCCATAGTGTTTTCAGTGTAGGATATATAACATGTTCCATTGTCAGGAGTTTGCAAAGGAAGTAAAAAATAATATGCACTAAAGATATATGCAACAAAAATATACTTGATGGGGAAAAAATTAATACAAAAATCTATTTCTAATGTTACCTTTTCCTGAAGAACATTATACAGCAATTTCTTAGAATATCAAATATTGATCGTTATACATATTATCAATATTTAAATAAAGCGCAATACATATCGATTCACAAAATATCGACTATGCAGAGCATATCCCAATATGTAGACGACAGTCAAAGTAGATGGATTCGAGCAATGTTTACCTTAAAGTACATGTCTCTTCCTTTGATTCGTGTGGATTTAACATTTGACTTCCAGACTCACGGACAAGTTAAGAAATTTAGTACCATAAACTATTCAAGAAAGCCTCTAGGTTTGGTTGCACCTTGAATTGCTGATAACATTAATATTCAATTAGTTTTTTGCATATGCTAATATACCTTGATAACTGATTTTTTATCGAATGTATATCTTTTATTACGGTACCTATATGTGGGTAAAATATGTTAGTTCAAACAGGTGCAAAAATATATTGGAATAACAAATAAACTTAGGGAAATGAGAATATGTCAGGGCATAGTTGCATTGACTTGATGATCATAAAATGCATGTTTCACTCGTCACACGGTTCTAATGACGTATCAAGTTGTTCTGGTACCCAACAGATTCATTTAATATCTAATTTGAGAAAACCATACTTGTAGGTGATTGTGATGAGGTAGACAGAGACAAACTAAGTTTTACAGCCTGTGTTGCAGTTCTTTTTGTCGAAATCTTTACTTCCGGTACACCATTTGAATCTCTATAGGAAAATCAAACAATGTTTAGCATTCTGTAATAAGAAATTGTGAACTAGTCGCCTATAAGAAATCGATCTAACTAGAATATTAGATACCTGAGGGACAACACTGAGTATTGTACAAATGCATAGTTATTATACCTTATATAAAAGTCGAAAGAAGTTGTAATTTACTTTAATCAATAATCAAATATTTCTCATCGTCATCAACTTTTCTCTCTATTTTTACGTTCTTTGGTGAATAGGCAATTAATTTAATACTGTGTCTTAATGAACACAGTTTGACCTTATATCAGCATTAGATAAGAATGATTTTTGTTGTTGAAAGGGAATGGAATTGAAAGTATTTTCATATTTATGAAAATGGTATTTTCATACTTAATCCATAGTCTTAAAACTGTTATAACATATACTGCTTATGTATTTCTCATGCTTGATTATTTTGACGCGACATAAGTATATACGAATACCTGTTAATGCATGAATTAAAAACTAATTCTCAGAATAATATAACATGAAAACTCTCATTGAAACAATTGTGCACTGGGTCCGCAAACTATATTAGAAATATATTGTAGAAAAAACTAAACACAATATAGGGTTGTGCGTTCTCTACAAGGACGCATGCGCATTTAGTTTAACATGCTTAACATATTTACAAGCAGACATACATAAATGCAGCAGAGTTCTAAGTACACAAGTCAATACGAACTATAGAATTGATATATAAGAAGGTTATTTGGGGAGGGTGCGCGGGGAAAAGTGTACAAAACTAACTTCTGTGTTCTAACTTCTTGTTACGAACGTCGCATCTGTCAAACGTATCTTCAATTTACTTTGTATACTGATCGCCAAAATCGTCTTTGCAGAAAGAAATTCAATGAGTATAACCTTATCATATTTAAATATTAAAAAACATTATATTAAACATAGGTCCGTAAAGAAATCTAAAAAGGTATCCTAACTTAGCTCTACGAGTAATTAACGATAAGACGGTAACGTTATCAGTCTTGTACAGGTTAAAACAAAACGTAAACACAAGACACAAACAATTACACCAACACGTTAAACACACATTTATTTGAGACAAAAGTCAAGATAACATCTGTACCGCTCACAGAACATGGTTTCGCAAAAACTTTCATCAGGTACGCTTAGATTTAGTGAAGCACATAATCATTTCAAAAGCCAACCATACTTTACAAAATAGCAAGCTCAATATTAAGACATTACTACACATTTTGGCATTCTACATCAAATGCAAAAAACATATTTTAATCGAGTCAGTTACAGAGACAACTTGAAAACTAAACAATTAACTTGACAACGTATTCGAAGAAGATTATTTGCTTACTTTCAAAGAATGATAAACCTTTTTGGTAACAGAATATATCTTACCACGTCCTCTTTAGAAATTAGAAAGATTTATATATTTTATGATGAATAGAGTTAATGGCACCTAAAGTAAAACCTATGCTACTACAAACCTGTCAGGTTTATACTTGGTTCTTCTGCATGGTCCACAACCTTTTCCAGTTTTTTCTGATCCCTCTGGACAATCTTCACATCCTACATAAAAAACAAATACAACATATTTCAGCATATAACTGATATAATTAACAGGAGATGTGATATCATTGGTTAAGTTAAAACATATTTTATTGTTCAAAAGAGGCAAACGGATCAGACACAAGTTTTTTCAACAAAGCAACGTCTTCTCCGATACGTACATAAATATAAAAATGAAAGAAAAATTACATAAATCTGACTTCAACAAATTATTGTTTCAGCATGAAGATATAGAAATAAATTACATAGATATATGAAGTAGCAAATAAATGGATTTTTCCAGTCAATATAACGAATCGAGTGCGTTTATTTTTAGAATACATAAATTCAAACACACCGATCTGTGAAATATAAAAATATGTTTGTGTGCTTGACAAGTCATGTGTGTGGATTGCTTTAAGTACAAATTACACACTCATAGTTTATGATAGGATACATATTGAGTCCCTTTTATTGTGACGGATTAAGATAAGAAACGGAATAAATGTACACATAATTGTAAGTATTAATTTTATATCTTTTATCAAATCCATTGAAACGTTTCAGGTAACAATAGTCAATCATAAAGATCATTCGATTATCGTATCCCCAAGAGCGTAAGTTAAATCATGTTCAAGTACGATCTGTTACAGAAATAAAGTTGTCAAAGTTGAGAAAAGCTCTTGGTACTTTTTATATACTTTTGTACAAATAGAAAAACACTATCATGTTCATCTGAACTCAAAAACTCATCACATGATAGCTATAAATCAATTGTAATATTGACAGCAAAAACTTTGATTTCATTTAATATAGAAGCCCTTATGTTGAAAATATGTTACAATATGATAAAAAAATGTTAAGCACCTTCATTGATAAAGCCTTATAAACAATTTGCATCTTGTACTAAGTTTGCATTAAACAACTCAGATTGAAGAGTACTACTCCGGTTTCGCTGCCTTGCATGTAATACAGATAGTAAGCGATCTCCAGGGTAAAAATAACTCGGAGGTTTTTTATTCTTATAGTATAAAATATGCAATTTGCTTTTAAATAATTAAAATGAAGGATTCAGTCTTATGATAATGGTTAAAGTGTTCTACAATGTTATGGATGATTGAAATAAGACTGTCGATAAACTGATAAACCATTCACTGGAATAGTGATATCGTATATAGATAAAGGAAGATGTGGTATGAGTGCCAATGAGACAACTCTCCATCCAAGTCACAATTTGTAAAAGTAAACCATTATAGGTTAAAGTACGGCCTTCAACACGGAGCCTACGCTCACAGCGAACAGCAAGCGATAAAGGGCCCCAAAAATGACTAGTGTAAAACCCTTCAAATAGGAAAACCAACGGTCTAATCTATATAAAAAACGAGAAACACTTATGAACCACATCAACAAACGACAACCACTGAACATCAGGTTCCTGACAGGTGCAACAATCGTGTTTATTTCCAAACAATAATTGCTTATATCAGATACAAATTCTGGGACCAAGTCATGAAGATAATCAGGAGCCTGTTTGTAAATAATTTTATTAAACATAGCCATTTTTTTACCTCTAGCCTTACGCTATTGTTTTCCCATTGAAAATCACACTATAATAAAATTAAGACAAAATAACATAGATGTGAACAATTAAAGGTATATAGGTCTATAAGTCTAACACATTCTAGTACAAAAAAGATGAATAAAAAGGTTCCGATTTAAAACTATCGAATTCGCTTGAAATACTTTCAGAGTGTTATAAAGCGCTAACGAATAGAACTTTTCCGATATCATTATTATCTGATATTTTGACAACACACATTTTGATGATTTTTACAGGTGACATTGTTACCTCCGGTTTTGTTCAGGTATTTTCCTTCTTCACACCCTGTTTGTTTGTCGTCGCAGAGGCAGGGATCACCATGGTAACATTTAGTTGTATCACATTCACAGCCTATCAACTGATCGCAAAATGAAATCTTTTTGCTTCTACTATACTTTATCTCTGTAAGTAAATTGTTAAAATTGATTCCAGCTTCACAATTGTGAACTTTCTATTTCTATGTAGCACCATTCCAGCAGCGCCTGCATATGGAGTTGTTATCTCCCAGTTGAAACGATATTCCAGGGCTTGTATTTCCTATCATTATTTCCTTGAAAGAGGGTTGCTGCTCACAAGGAAGCTATTCAACCAAGAGTTCCAAGTGATGAAGTTGAAATCATCCTTTCGTAAGTTTTACGGACGCCATCACGAGTTGGTTGACCGTTATGGAATTTCCGTTTCACAGATAATAACGGATATGTTCCTGTTGTCGTGACTACAATCCCGTCCACCTTTCCCGAATGTGACCTACCGAATTAGACTTATTACCGGGTTTGTACTAATATGAGCAACATGACGTGTGCCACATGTGCAGCAAGACCTACTTACCCTTCGAACCGCCTGATATCACCCTCGTTTTTCGGTGGGGTTCGTATTGCTCAGTCTTAAGTTTTCTGTGTTGTGTTTTGTGTACAATTGTTTGTCTGTTGGTCTGTCGTTTTTAGCCATGGCGTTGTCTGTTTATTTTCGACTTATGAGTTTGAAAGTCCCTCTGGTATCTTTCGCCTCTCTTTTGTAAGACATGAAACCGATACAGTGGTCACACGACTTATCAAATAAATGAAACAAGGGTCTGAAAGGTTGATTTACCGGGATTATGACTGTAACTGGAAATTGAATGTATTTTGAAAAATAATGATCATTGGGCCATGCAACACGCAATGTGACCATTCAGACACTTTGGCTTGTTGTAATGATAAGCAAAATTTTGAGAGCATGAACTACATTCAGTACAATATTGCAATTAGACGTCCATATTACAGCCGACCTCCGGTAAGGAAGTTGTTATACATCCCATAAATCAAAACAAATGCCCGAACTTGAGTAAAGTTTTTGGAGCTTGACTTTCTATTTTTATCACATTCTGGTTACTATATTATTCGTTATTGGTATTAATACTTTTTATTGTATTCTTCAAATTTGCTTCTAAGACGGATCTTCGAAAGTGAGATGATACTTATTTAAATCTATTCATCACCTTGAGATATATTTGTCATTAAGCAATCACAATACTAGTGATATATACTTTATTTGCATAAATCAAATTCTTTAAAATTATAAAAAATAAATGTCTATTTCAATAATAGGCAGTTTTTCTAAATTCAAATCTACGATGTTTCCTTTGGAGTTTACATCACAATATTGTTTTAAATATCTAGCATTAATTTGATTTATCTCTTCTGATTATCGAACAATGAGATTTGAAAATCATTTAACTACTATCGCGTTAATTCATTGATTCTAAAGTTTGAATTAGATGTAAGTACTGATTCATACTTGGTTCGGTAGTAGAATTAAGAAAAACAACATAAGGGATATTTCAGCAAAAGAAGTTTTGATCAACTGCAGATTCCAAAGTGGAGTACATCCATTTATTGGTGTACAAAACTAGTATGCATAATAACAAATTTTACTTGCCGTTTGAATCACATTTTTTGAGTGGTAAGAATCATTTTGTTTCCTTCTGATTTTCCTTTTGTGAAGACCATATGATGCATGGATCGATAGGGAAACTAAGAAAAAATAACTATGGGAAGTTTTTTGCAAAAGGAATTTTGATCAACTGCAGATTCTCAAAAAAAGTGCGTTCATTTATTGGTAAAACTAGCATTCATAATATAACACATTCTACTTGCCGTTTCCATCACATTTCTTGACTGGTGCAAAGCATTTTGTTTCGTTCTGATTTCCCTTTGGTGATGACGATATCAAATCAGGTTGAACCAAACCATTTGCACACGAAGTACATATATCTTTTGTGAATTCTTCAGCACAGGGCTGTATTTCATGGCCTCAAAAATAGTAATTATAAAGATAAATCAAAAGTTGAAGATAGTTATTGTATTGCAATTCTTTTTCGTCTTCATTATGTTTTAAATGTCATTGCAAGATAAAATAAATAAAGAAAACAGTTTAGATTACTTATGATTGTTTTTCGTAAATTGTTTTGTAATAGATTCGGCCGAAAGTTTCTCAATTGTGTCACATTTTTCATATCGGGGCCTTCTATAGCCGACTATAAGGTATGGGTTTTTCTCATTATTGAAGGCCGTACGGTTGCCTATAATGAGTTATATCCACTTTATTTGAACTTTGATGGATAGTTGTCCCATTGGCCATCTTATCTTATCTCCTTATTCTATATTTAAAATAAAAATATCCAAATACATGCACAGTGAATGAACTATATCCCGGATTATGTCATTTTCGTCTGAACAGTCCTGAATGTATTGCACAATTTTTACATACAAATGCGCTTAAATGATTAAAAGACATTTAAAGAAATATCTGTCGTCGGCGATGAAATCAGAACTAGTACTTTAAGTTATTTTTCATCGTTTTTGAATTATAAACGGTCAAAAGAGTACCGCGTTTCTAGTTTTCACAACATCAGCATAACGGAAACAATATAATATACTTTAACGATAAAAGTTTGTAAATGAATTGTGTTTGAATATAAGACAACTATGGTTGCAATATGCTGTTGCAAAGTAGATTTAAGCCACGTTCTCAACAGGATGTTGACATTCCCATTAGGAACCAAATGTGCACCTCTCCTGGCCGGCCTTTTCCATTTTATGTGAGTCGCAGTTTTTTCACAATTGTCACATGTGGAGAAGGATCTGCTTACGCTTTTTTTTTTAGCCATGGCGTTTTCAGTTTATTTTCGACTTATGAGTTTGAATGTCCCTTGGTATCGTTCGCCTCTCTTTTTCAGACATTTGTAAAAACAATAATATTAAAGCAAGTAGATTATTCAATTTCACAGACAGGTTTTTGATGCTGTTCTTTCCATTAACATTCCATTTTTTCTGATCGGGTCCAATTAATATATCCTCCTGAACTAGAGATTAAAGAAACCACAGATACAGCTTCCTCCGCATCATTTCGAGACATTTACCTCGAATTTAAAAGCAGCGGTCATCTCAGTACCCGATTCTGCGACAAACGAGACGATTTCAATTTTAAAATTATAATTTTTCGCACCTTACCAGTAATACATCAATACCTGCGAATGAATAAAATTGAGAATGGAAAGTATACATTTCTAAACTCATACAATATTCAAAAGCTTGCAGATGCTACTCAAAACTTGTTGTAAAACGTCATCGGCGTCTGAGGAAAAAAAATAAATAGCCAGCGTTTTTTAAAAAAATGTTTTGGTGGCAACTTTACAAATAATACCAAATGGTTTTGAGTTATAAATTCGACGTTCCGAAGTTGTGTATCTTTTCAATAACTTAAGGTTCCCCGTTATTAAGGTGACTCGGTTTTAATGCATCCCGCAATCGGGTTGTTTTTCCTTTTTAAAAAAATGGGCATGTTAACATATTTTAACTTCTTGAAGTCATTGTCAAATTTGTTATCTACTACACTTGTTTTGTTGGTGTCTTTGTTATATTGATTTTTATGTTTATTTGAATATTTTATTCAGTTGTGTTGTGTGTCTGTGAAAAAGGCCAAAGATACCAAAGGGATATTCACACTCATAAGTTGAAAATAAACTGACAACGCCATGGCACACAATTAACAGTATTTAAAAAACAACAAATAAAACTAAAGACTGAGCAACACGAACCTCACCGAAAAACGAGGGTGATATCAGGTGCTCCGGAAAGGTAAGCAGATCATGCTCCACATGTGGCAAATGTGATGTTTGTTAACATTTTGGCCGTTTGATAAACAACTAACATACAAGTGGGATATTTAGCTAGCTATAAAACAGGTTAAATCAGTGTTTTCTTCTGAAAATGCCTGTACCAAGTTGGGAATATGGCACTTGTTTTTCTCTTGTTCATTGATAGCGTTTGATTTTGTCAGTTTTTGAATTTGCCTTGCAGTTTGTTTTTTTTTTTTTTATTAATTTGCGTTCATAACATAACTAAGGAGCTTACCTGGTTCACAATTTAAAAATGCTACACATGGTCTTCTATTCCCATCAATTGTATAATAGACATAATGTTCTTCATTCGAAAAAATCTGATAAAAAAAATAGATTTAGTTGTAATAATTAATAAAATAAGTAGAGATGGTATGATTGCAAATGAAACAACTATCTACCAGAGACAAAATGTCGCGGATATTAGTAATGATAGATCATAGTATTATTTCAACAACGAGGAAACCCACAACGTGACATAGTTTTCATACGATTCAAACGTGTGAACAAAGGCCACATTTTCGCTTAAGCATTAAACGAAAAATATCTATAATATTATATTGATTTGAAGTAAGTTGCCTAATGTAAATTCCAGCAGTATTATTAGAAAACTACTGATAATTTAAAGCAAATATATCAACGGTCGGTAAACGTTGTTAAATGTATAAAATAAAAGGATAATAGACAATATTTTTCTAAGTTTGTCATAAGCTTTAACTTATAGCAATAGAGGTTCTATCTATTATATCAGGGACAAGTGATGCGCTTATACGGATACAGCCCTTGGATGGTGTAAACTTCCCAAAAAACGTGTATGGTGTAATGGTGTATAGCATATTGTGCAATGGTAGAAGGTGTATGGTATAATGGTGTATGGCATATGGTGCAATGGTAGAAGGTGTATGGTGCTATGGTGTATGGTGTAAGGGGAATGGTGTAATGGTGTAACGTGCGATCTGAAATGGTGTGAATGAATGGTGGACGACATTTAAAACTATGCAAAATATTGATAAGAATTGATTTTTAATTTTATACATTAATTTACAATATTGTGATCAAAATTCGTTTTTTAAAATAAATAAATAATTTTGTAGTCGCACGCTTTCTTTGAAATTAAATTGCATTATGGTGTAATGTGTAAGGTGTACATGGTGTATGGTGCAAAGGTGCATCGTGTATGGTGTAATGGCACAGGGTGTATGGTGTAATGGTGTATGACGAATGGTGTAATGGTGTATGGTGTTAGTGGGAAGTTTACACCATCCAAGGACTGTATCTACCAACTGACGATAAACTGCATTGACAAAACGTACAGATATATTGCAAAAAAGAAAATGTTTGGCTTTAATTACCAGTTAAAAATTCAACTATTTCCTCAATTTGTCATAAGTTATATATGAGCCAATGTTATGACTCTGTTTGCATTTAAATACAGATTAATTTGTGCATGTCATTTCCATATCGACCATTAACCATCACGATGTGCTGTTATAAGTCTAAGCATGATAACCGGACAGATATTAAAAATGCCATGCATGTACTTACATGTGCACGTGTGTCTATAAAATATACATAAACAAAGGAAACTAAAACACCACTAAACTTAAAAAACCTTATAGTTATGTTAATGACCAACAATTAAAACATCAATCACCAGTAACATATTGTCAGATGTTTCAACTTTTTATTTTAAAATTGGCACTCTGTTACCAATCAAAGCATCTGCATTTCATGTTCATAAAAAATAAAACACTCATGCATAGATTGCTATACCAACACTTGGGACAACTTCATTTTGTGATTTCAATGCTCTGTAAATTGCAATTGGTATGTGGTTAAGCAATCCAACAGAAGACGGAACACGTGACTAGCATACTTAATTGTAAGCATGCTGTCTTTGGTGAGTATTTGCCAGTGTTATAACGATAATAAGTGGTTCATATACATGATACATGTCAGCTTATCCCACCTGATAACAGTTTATTAGTTAGAGACGTACAGGTAGCTCTTGGTATGAGACTTGACAGTAAACTGGTACAAGCTGTGAAAGTCCTACTGCTACCTACTCTTATATATATTTTGTCGTGATAAATGATAACTGTCTACATTGACGAACCGACAGTATTAACTGGTTGAGAGCTTTTGAGATGACGGGAGATTTTTGTTAATTGAGATGATGTGACGGGAGATTTTTGTTAAGCAGAATCTTTTCCACTCATATAATCTGCGACAAAAGAGATGATTTCAGCTTCCCAGTTTTCATTTCTATGTGAAGCAACATTCCAGCAGCGTCTGTATATGAACTACATATCTCCCAGTTGAAACGATATAACAGGGCTTGTATTTACTTTCATGATTTCCTTGATAGAGGGTAGCTGTTCAAGAGTTTGGTTAACAGTGTGGAATGTCTGTTTCACATATGATGGAAGATATGTTTTAATCGTCGTAACCGCAATCCCGTCCTCCTTTCCCCAAATGTGACCTACCGAATTAGACGTATCACCGGGTTTGTACTAACATGAGCAATTTGACAGGTGCCACATGTGGCGTAGGATCTGCCTACCCTTCCAGAGCACCTGAAATTACTCCGGTGTTTTGTTGGGGTCGTTTTTCTCGGTCTTAAGTTTTCTATGCTGTGTTTTGTGTCCTGTAGTTTATCTTTTGGTCTTTTAATAAAAACATATGACGTTGTCAGTTTATTTTCGCCTTATGATATAATTTACAAAACCCATACCGCATAGTCAGTTATTAAAGGCCCCTAAATGACAAAAGTTAAATAATTCAAACGAGAAAACTAACGGACTGATTTGTGTACAAAGTAATGAACGAAATACAAATATGATATACAGCAACAAAAAACGACCACTGAATTACAGGCTTTTGACTTGGAACCGGCACATACAGAATGTGGCGGGGTTAACAGTTTGAATGTCCCTTTTGTATCTTTCGCCTGTCCTTTATTGGATTAACGTAGAGTGACAATTTTGGTTGTCCGAAAGATATATCATACTAATTATTTTTACGCCGTACGGAGATTAATATATGATTAATTCACCGTTTTTACTGTAAATTATAATTTTCTTTACAAAGCAGGGGGGTGGGGACTGCAAAAATATAAACAAGACAAAAGTAAACTGTATAAAATACCTAAAACAGATGTAACAACAAGGAAGTTGGTTTACCCAGAGACCAACATTATAACTTTCTTCAACTGATTCAACGCCCACTTCAGTGAATTTAAATCAAAGTCATATTTAAATGTTTTGTCAGATACGTTTGACGGATTATCAATAATCATATTTAAATGTTTTTTTTTAGATAATTTTGACGGATTATCAATAATCATATTTAAATGTTTTTTAAGATACGTTTGACGGATTATCAATAATCATATTTAAATGACTTCCTTACTTATTAAAAGATAAAAGATAATACGTACCATGGGTATTATGCAAAGAACAAACGTCGCACGTAATGACTCTCTAACCCACCTGGTCATCTTTATATCAATTTCTATAATTATAGATTATCAAGTTATAGCAGATACATTGAAAAAATACACTTGATTCAATTAAAATGTTATTTTAAACCAGATCCTAAAAAGCGATAAACTTGTTGAGATACAAAAGTTTTAATTTTTATATTAAGTTAACATATTCACGTATCTGTTAAATTTTATTGTTTGTGTTTATATGAAAAAATAAGAAAATTTGTATGATTGACGATGAAAAAACTATCGTCCAAAGACCTAATGACAGGGATGTATACAATTTGTGTCATCGTATGACTTTCAACAATGCTCAAAACCCTAACCGTGTTGAAAGCTTCAAAAGTTTGCACATAACAAAAGAACTGAAACAAGAAAAACCATCACAGGGTTAAACATGTTTGGTCGCGCTCAATCCTCCGATAAACTGGGACAGATGTGAGTTAGCAAGCAATAATTCTATAGCATAAAACATAAGGGCTTTACTTCTCTTTACTCAGCACAATAAAAAAAAAAAAAAAATAAAAAATAAAAAACACAAAACAGAAAGACAAACGACTCGGAGTATCGATCTAAGAGTATTCGCATTTACTATATCTGCGTGTTTGCTTTTGTTGTGGCATGTGTATATTGCATCATTAGTATAATTCTTAATAGTATAATTCTTGATGGTGATTAGCGTTGAGGGCCTACACACGAGAAATCGTAAGTAACATTGAACATGTTATTAGGGCATATTGTCCTGTTGAAGTCACTTAAACACAATACATTAGTTCTCCCGCAACGTAATTCACAATGATCCATAGGATCTGTTTCAGCTGATGGGTTTACTTCTTAAATAACAATAGATCTTTATCTGCATGCTACAGGAAATGTCATATCACAACTTTATCCTAGACTATCTTAACATGTTTACACATATTTAGTTTTCACTTAAACCCGTAAATGTCAAACAAAAAGTTGGAAAACAATATTTTGAAAGGGGTTTTCGACCATTAAAACTGTTTGTTTTTTTATAATTGTTTATCCATGTTTGTGATTAAGTCATTTTCTTTCATAATGATATATCCACAGAACTAATCTACAGTGTATATTGATATACTTGTTATCATTAAGTGTCAATAAATCGAAGTATATAAATGTTTATCTCATCCAAAACAAAGTGTGATATGATCCACAAGGACTTTCGTCAGCTTGATTCAATGTTGTTCGAACATGGGAGTAGTGTTATATCATTAAACATTTGAAACCTGATTTCCTAAATGTTCATATGATGTCTTTCGTTTTTACAATAGTGACGAATCTTTTGATCGTGTTATTACAATTCACATTAATAGAATTTGTCAATAATAAATTCTATTAAACAGGATTTAAGATATCTGCATTGTCAATGCATTTAAAAAACAAAAATCATAATATTCTAATTTATTAATATATCCAATTAATTTGTATGTGAAATAATCAAAAGTTTTACTTACAGTTTACGATGAACGACGTTTAGTATGCATATTTTATATTTAAAGCAAGTAAATATTATTTTGGTATTATCCAAATCAAGGTCATGTCAAGGTGCATCAACATGTGAATACTCTTTTTTATTTACGAATAGATTATAATTGTCTTAGAAAAGCAAATCACGCTATCATAGAATAATTTAGGACGTTTTAATTCATTGTCATATCCAGTGCGATTCTGTCGTTCAAAACAATTTATTATTTGCACCTCAACATTTCTGATATTACTACTTGAAGTCTCTGGAATAAGTAGGCAATCAACCGAAAGTTCGGGTTTTTTTCAGATGACCAGACTGGGTCCTTGGCCATCCTGTTCTTCCACTGTTAATTAGATTAAGGTACCCTCATTTTACTGGTATGCATGCTTCACTTGCTTTTCGAATCCACTTTTGAGTAAAAATAGCAACTGCTTTACAAGTTCAAATCATTTTGTTGCAAGTTCTTTGAAACAGTCAAAATTAAAAAAAAACCAATAAAATGTAAAATTAACACAAGTGAAACTAGGATAGTTTACATTAAATAGATTTTAATAGTTCGTTTCTATGTGTGTTACATTTTAATGTTGTGTTTTTGTTGTGTCGTTGTTCTCCTTTTATATCTAATGCGTTTCCCTTAGTTTTAGTTTGTAACCCGGACATGTTTTTATCTATATCGATTTATGAGTTTTCGAACAGCGGTATACTACTGTTGCCTTTATTTAAGTTAGTTGCCTTATGCAAATTCCCACAGTATAATTATAAAACTACTGAAAAGTTAAAGCAAAATCATCATATGTCAACAAAATGGATAATAGACGGATCTTTTCGTAGTCTTTCATAAACTGTAATTTATAGCTACAGAGGTTCATGTCTATTATTTTAGGGGGTGAGACTAGTGTTTATACAATTATTTACCAACTGTCAATAAACAGCTTTGTCAAATACGTACAAAGATATTGCCAAAAAAAAAGCGATGTTAAGCTTTAATTATCTTAGTACAGTTGCAGTTAGATATTAATATATACAGCCAATCATAAAGAAATGAACACTTAGTTTTTAATTTCGTCATTCTAAATTTTCTGTATCTTATTCTATATAAGATGTACATGTAAATCATTGCTCAAATCATTTCATAGTTTGTCAAAAATATATATGAGTCAATATTATGACTCTATGTGGTTCAAAAAACAGATCAATTCATGCATGGCATTCCATATAACCCATTAATCATCACAATGTGCTGATATAGATTTAAGACTGATAACCGAGCAGATACGGAAAATGTCATTCATGTACTAACATGTGTGCGAGTATCTGTAAAACATAAACAACGGAAACTAAAACCACATTTAATATATAAACTTAATAGTTATGTCAATGATCAACAATGAAAACATCAATCAAAATCTCACTAAACATGTTTAACCCGCCGCATTTTAGCGCCTGTCCCAAGTCAGGAGCCTCTGGCCTTTATTAGTCTTGTTTGTTTTTTAATTTTAGTTCATTTATATGTTTCGGAGTTTAGTGTGACGTCTATTTTCAGTGAACTAGTACACATTTGTGTTTAGAGGCCAGCTGAGGCCAGTTTCCGGGTGCGGGATTTTTTTCGCTGTGTTGAAGACACATTGGTGGACTTGGGTTGTTTTCTACTCTTTGTTCGAGTTGTTGTTTCTTTGACAAATTCCCCGTTTCCATTCTCAATTTGATCAAATGTTTCAACTTTTCATTTTAAAATTTTAAAATCGGCATTCAGTTACATATGGAAGTATCTGAATTTCAATATCTATAACAATAAGAGCAATCAATGCTGTCAAATATCATTGCATTATATGGTCTTTTTTCTGTTAATATACTGTTCTTGAAAATACTCATACATAGAACACTTGAAAGAACTTAAGGGAAGTTCTTTTTGCATTGCTCTGTAGATTTGTATTTTATGAAGTCATCCAACAGTAGATGGAACACATGACTCTCCATACTTAATTGTAATCATGCTGTCTTTGAAGAGTATTTTCAAGTGTTGAAGCGTCAGTAAGCGGTCAATGTATGTCATCTTATCCTACCTGATAACAGTTTATTAGTTAGAGACGTACAAGTAGCTGTTGATAAACACCTATCAGTCCTGGTATGCTTACTTCCTGCTATGTTACCTATTCAAATGGTTTTTTCTGTGATAAATTATATGTGTCTACATAATTAACTGGCATTATTACCAGATTTGACAGCTTTTGAACGCTGTGAAGAGAGATGTTTGTGAAGCAGAAATGCTTTACTTTTCCAACACATCATTTGCACTTCATTACGACTTCAAAAAAGTCGTTTTTCTACACTTTTATGTTCTTTTTTTTTAATTTTATAACTGGATTGATGAGTATTTGCACCGTTTCTACAGACCCTCGTATTTATGCATCTAAAAGGAATAAACACCCGTCCCCGCTTTATCTGTGGATCTATCATTACAGAACTTATTGAAGAAATTGCGGCAAGAAAGAGTAACACAACTTGATTAATTTATATCTTGGGTTCATCGTAAAAGTTCCATCTCAATGTTACCCTTAAGACTGACATGTGTATAAAAATCGCGTGACAAAATGCCGTTTGCAAATCATGAGCAATTTTTAAATCATATCAAAACGTATTAACTCCCGAATCCAAAATAAACTGGGTATCTCCTAGATAACTATGAAACGTATATTCAGCTAACAGTATTAAGATGTTTTAATAGTATGCCCGGAAATAATCGATGTTTAACCTTCGAAAAACAATAATTTGTCCAAAAACAAATCCATCCCAGAAAAGTACTAAATGATTCTTCTTTAATCAGCCTTATTGATTCTGCTCTTTGGTCGGGTTTTTGTCTCTTTTACAGATTCCCCATTTCCATTCTCAATTTTATTATTGATATATGAATATAGAGAAAAGCATTCAAAAGGAATAGCCAAACGAAATCATCAAATCTCAACACAGTCCTGATCATAACATTTGTTACAATAGTACATTAAAACTTGAATGACAACAGTCGACCGAATTATCTTGCTGAAAGTACACCACCAGAGATATCAAGCCAAACACATTTGTTCGTTGATTACAGGTTTCGTCTATATATGTCATATCTTATTTATTCATTGTGATTTATCAAGATACGCAATTCTTGAGCCAGATATCTTTCTTTAGACTTTACATACATCTCTTTAACTAACTGATGTGAAAAATGAATAGCTTTATTTTCTGAGTGTGCATTTTAAAGAATGATTATATCCTTTCAACTATACGTGTTTATCGTTATCAAATGTTCCTTTACAAAACAATTTAAAATAATGTATACTCCAATGCATAACTGTTCCGAATGTATTGATTAATACGTCGACTTAACTTCACAAGAAATGTAAGGAGATTTTATCAAACAAACCGACATAAATGACTGTGAAAAGATGTCATTATATAGATAAACATATGATTAAAACGGAGAAAAACTAAAATGTCGCCAACGTTTTTCATCAAGTACAACGCCAAATAAAAATGTTATATTCCTGTCGGTAACTTTCTAGTTGAATATTAAAATAGGTACATCACTTTAGCGTTAC